CCCGTGCCCAAGAATCAAAAGATTATCGTCGGCTGCAGTAGATGGGTTGTTATTAGGAACCATCAAACATGGGTTTCCTGCAGTTGTAATTTTGAAACAGCCGAACTCTTATTCCGACATGGGCACCTCGAAGGGCGCGTGGCCCGGGCGATTGTTGGGGAGGCAGGGGAGGAGCAGCAGTAGGCGTGCCGTACCACCTACTGAACCCTATCGCTCTCGTCCGGATGTCAATTGTCAAATTCAAATGCACTGAGTGGGCTGCCCCACTTGGTCCACGTTCCAGTCTGGCTTGGATGGAGTATTGACGACCTTGGCCAGTGTGGCCCGTGGAGTACCTACGGAGTAGCCCGACTCTTTTAGCGGTTAAGCCTTTTCTCCTTTGGCTTAGGGCGCTTGTTAGTCTTTGGACTTTCGCAGACCATCTCCAAAGTGGAGCGCTCGAGGCTTGGAGGAAAAGCCTGAGGAGTGTCACCGAGGACGGCCTGCTGGGCTCTCCTAGTCAGACAAGTTCCTGCCGCTACTTTAGCATGCCTAAGTCGGTTGTTGGCTCGCAAGCTAGAGGACCACCGACCTGGCCAGAATGATGCGATCTCATATTGGCGTTAACCGAACTCTCCAATCAAGACGCTCGGGATACCAACAAGATTCCCACTTCCTATGCAGTTACAGTAATGATGGTCTTCAACCTCCATTTTCCTGCATGATGTCTGCTGAGTGCCGGCCTCTCCCTATCAACACTGCCTATATCCCGTACGGTGCCTCGTAGACTGCCCCCAAAGTCCAGTAGCCCACCTATCCTCCACCGTGTCAGCATTTCAATATAATAACAGCATAGGGGAACGAATGACCGGGAATGAGCAACTATGATGCAGTTGGTATCAACCAACTCGACAACGCCAGCCGTCTATAGAGTAGCCTTATCAAAGCCGTAGTACTGCTGCAATTACTCGCATAGACTCGTATACTCCAAGCTGACGGGATCGACTTGGTTGAAGTCTAGCCATGTGCACAGGGTATTGCCGGGGGGAGTGGGGTATCCCTTTCTCCCCTCTTTCTCCATACCTTCTCCGTAGTCCATGGTAGCCCAGCGTAATCCTCCTTCCCCTTTGGAAAGATGTCAAGTCTCGGAGTCCGTTAATTAATTTGATTTGGGCTGGGAAGTGGGAAGGCTAACTTTCCCTGATCCTCGTGGCGGCCGGGACTGGCGATCGGGAAAACCATGGTCCAGCTTATGCAGTGGAGAGAAAAAGGCCAACTGAACACGGGACCGTTGAAGTATACTGAGATGTGGTTCGTCCGTCCGGTTGGACTTGTAGACGAACAAGGCACAAAGAGACGTAGTATATCGTAATAATAATGTAGAAAGAATGAAAATACTTGGGCTTCTTCAGACCATCATGCAGAGCGCCTCAGCCGCACTCCAGCACTACTCCCCTTAGCTGCTGGTCGCTTGGGGATGTTGGCCTCGTGTCGGCTGTCATTTGCCCGTTGAACCAACGGGGCCCGTCTGGACGGTGGATGAGGCCAACCCAAAAGCGGGAATCCATCGTTCCTTCCTGCCCTGGTGCAGTATTGTACCATGACAAAATCCCTCCCGTCCCGGTTTTCTTCGTGTACTCCGTAATAGAATCATACTAGTAATCAGTAATCGTTCCCCTGACCGGTCCATTAGATAGATTGATCTGTCAAGAATCTGCATCGGGCCCGAAATGACTGAACAATAAATTCCAATTACTACTGAATCCAGTCTGATCAGTCGGTTAGCTTGGCAGATGGGCGGGTTTGCGGTGCCGTCGTGCCCCCCAGTCCAACATAGCCATGCTTAGTTGCTTGCTGTGATCACCCTGCAGTGCACTGGTTCGCTTACCACTGCAATACCCGCCTTAAGGTACATTCCCTCCCTGCCGTTCAGCAGACCAGCCCCAACGAGATTGGATGATAATCACATTGTCATATTTATTTTTATCTTTCTGATTATTTTACTCTATTTTTTCTTTTTTCTTTTTTTTTTCTGTTTCAATTCTAAATTTAATTTTGCAATCATAATATCTTATTTTATTTTATTTTAATTTCCTTCCAAATCATTTCCCCTCATGTCCGGCGATCGTTCGGGGGGGGGCCTCTTTTTCACCGGCCTAGCCACATCGGGTGGTTCTTGTATATCACTGCAGCAGCTCGAAAGCTGACCCTTTCTCTTCAGCCCACCCTGGGAGCCTCTCTGCCACCATTCCGTCCGTTTCAGATCCTCACTTTACTTTTTTTCCCCCATCTCCATCTCCATCTCACTGCCCCAAACCGGGCTTGCAGATGCGAGGCATTTTTCTTGCTTCATCTCTTCTGATCTCACCCTTGTGCTTCTGGACCGTTCCCCAATTCTGCTAGCATCGCTGCATCACAGCCCACCTTCCCACTTTCCCCCCATCCCAATCTCCACACTACCACATGTTCCGTTCCTGACAAGTTCTGGGTCTGTCACAGAATGATCAGGGGATCGTCTCCTTCAGGAACCAAAACTATATCTTCCACCCATTCGCCAATCTAACTCCTCTCTATTCTCACTTCACCACGCGAACTCTATAAAGTCAATTGTTCCTGCCCCTTCTTCCTCTAATCTACTACAACAACCAACAATTCTCCCAATCACTACTACTACATAAACAACAACTTTCTTCTGCAACAACTACTACAACAACAACATCATCATCATCACCACACACCACGGGCGGGCAGCAAAGCATTCACAATGCGTCGAAGCACTAATCAATCGGAGATCCCTCTCCCTATTACCTACACCCCAACCACACACCGCATCAGTAAAGCAAAGAAGGGAAAGCGGGTGCATGCCTGCGAATACCCAGGTTGCAACAAAGTGAGATCCATGAGACGCCATCAGAATCACACGACACGGAGCTAACACTTAGATTCAGGTCTTTACAAGAGCGGAGCACCGAAGGTAGGCTGTTGACCTGGTATCTCAATATCTAGCCTCATGTAAATGCTAACCTCTTGGTGTAGACGCCATGAGTTGAACCACAACCCAGAAGCATTATTCCGGTGTACCCACAGCCACTGCAAGAAGGCATTTCATCGTCCTGACCTTCTGGCACGCCACATGGAAAGACAGTTAGTCAATCTGCCGGGGGGACAGCTGATATAGCCTTGTATACTGACGAATATCTCTAGCGAATTGGAAGCACAGATGGATAGGACTGCGCAATGGCAACAACAGAGCCGTGCCCCCATCATTTCTGAGCCCTATGTGCCCAACGCTACGACGGTGCCCACAAGCCAAGGACCGTACCTGCCTGTAACCCAGCCGCAGAATGCGATGTCGGTTGGATCCCTCGTGGCCCCTGCTATACACCCGGACCTCTCCAACGACTGCGGCTTGATGTGGAACAGCGTGGAAATCCCATCTGGACACCAAACTCCCTTGTACCAGGGCCATCATCAGATTCACGAATCCGTTGAAGACAGTCGGTATTACGCTACCCCGGAAACGTGTCCGTCCCCTATCTCGGACGGAACTTCACTCTCAGTTCACTCCCACTCCCGTTCATCTGTTGTCTCCACACCGGTCACAGTCGTTGAACCGTATCCTGAGAGTCTGATGGAACCCGACCTGACTTCCTCGCCAATGTCCATGCAGTCGAACATGCGTTGCTGGGAACAGCAAGACACCAGCCTCCCTTCCCTGAGCATGATGCCGCTCCCCCTCACCGAAAGCCTTCTCCACCCGGTATGTCAATCAGAAGACATTTTATGATATGTTATGACTAACTATGACACCACAGACCATCCACTGCCCTTATCCATCTCCTGGCTGGTCAACCCCTCACCACTTGGCATACGACGATCATACTCTTCCGCCCGCAGCACTTCCGCCTGCGATGAACTGGAAGTCGTGGGCACTGTGAATACTAGCGAAGCCAGCACGAAGTGACGACCTTAATCACTTTAACACTGACCCCCAGCTAGCGGGCTCGCCGGTGCTTAATTGGGGCTTATGAGCCGTTTTTCTATACGACCGATGCGCTATTGCTTACCCTATCGGGGCACCCGTCATTGACGAGGCGCAGCGATGCGTACTAATCTTTCTGATACTCATAATCGGCGCGGATTCAGAATAATGCTACCAGAAAAAGGGGAAACGAGGATAATGAAGAGAGCAGCCATGGAGCCTCGACTTCAACCTGTTCTCCAACCTTTCAACTCAACAGAACTATAATACGACGATAATGCCGCGATGCACAAGACCACTTGAAGCCAGCATCGCAGGAACCACGAGACCTCACAAAACACCAAACACATATGGTCTGGTCCTCTAATTCTTGTGTTTATCCTTCCTTTAAGACTTTCCTACCCTTTCCTATGTTCTCTCTGCATATATCTCCTTTGTTACCTTGTCTGGGAAAAGCCCTGTTATTTGAACCTTCTTCTGCTCTTCTTCTCTTCTTCTCTTCTCTTCTTTGTTTATATATCTCCGATTCCCCAATTAGGGACTGGCTACTCAGCCTGGATTGGTGTCTATCTTCTTCTTCTCATGATTATATACCCCGGTTGTGGCTTTTCTTTTTTTTTACTTTGTTTGCGACGCGCACAAGTGATTATTCATATGTCATGCTATATTGAGTTATGTTATGGTTTACGCTTTGATTTTGTTTCTTGAATGCTTTATCCGAGCTAACGATGCTTTGTTTTGAAGCGAACCTGTACATGCCTGGATTGACTTTCTTATAACTTTTGTATATTAGATAGACTACACTTCTTGCAAGATCAATTGGTTCTAGAATTTGTTTTTCAGCATATCCTTTCAAAGCAGATAGAGTATGGAGATAGCGTTGAGCTGGTCACTCATATTCATAGATTTTCTAGAATGAGAGCGCCGTGCTGGACTGGTATCGAGAATTGCCCTTGCTTTCGCTGGGTTGCTGGGCATGTCTCGATATCAAAAAAAGTGGTGCGGAAGTTTGAGACTAGTACGAAGTGCTTTCAATCGTCTGAATGGACTTGGATTTTATTATGTGTAATTAGACATGATCTCATGTCATAGTGGAGGTATCTACATAGTAGGTAATTAGACCGCAATGGTGGTTCTATCGCTACTGTTGATATCAGTGCTCCTATACTGCTATCCACCAGGCAGGCAGCTACAAGAGTCTATGACGGCCATCATGACCATCTGGCCAAGACGTGCATCATCAACTAGCGCTCCACGACTCATCCCTGGCCAGAATGACTCTCCAACACCATCCACACCAGCTTCGGTGTTGCCCCCGCTCCTCTCTGACGAGATACTCGCCTGTTTCACGCTCATCCTCATGCTCAACCACACAAGCACCGACCGTGACTCGCTTCTTTGCTTTCTGTTTGACCCGTCCTCCGATGCCGATGATCTCTTGTCGGAAGTAGCCAGGCTCCTCTTCTTCGCGATGGTCCCATCCGTCACCAGTGTGGTTGAGGTGGCGTGGAGGACTCTGGCTGTGCCGATGCTCATAGTAGCGGCTGTAGTCAGGGGGGCTCCCTGATGCCTCGTCCGCTTCGCACTCTACCTCCAGCTCGATCTCTTGGGCCGCAAGGCAGTCCTCTCCGCGACCACACTTGACACCCTGACAGCCTTCTCCAATTCCTGTACCGAGACCGCCAAGGTATGTACTGTATCGAGTGCGCCATGTCCATACCCGACGGTAGGTTGTATCGTTGCTGCGTACTTGGTGTCCGCATTGATGGCAGAGCCATATAGCATCATTGCAGGAGCAGGGAGTACGCTGAAATGCAGAGACGATTGGCCGGGGAGGATGTGTGGACGGAGAAGTGTAGGTGTTAGGTGGATGTGTGTGCGCGTAAGCTGGGTCGATAAGGTCGCTTAATGGGGCCGTACGACAGGTGGTGCAGAGTCGACGAATGCGATGCTTGAGCATGTTGCTGGATGGAGGCTTTATGATGCAGTTCTAGGTGACATATGTCTTAGGACGACAACCGTATCACATAGCGTTCGACTGGATGGACTTACTCGGCATACAACTTTGGAACAGCGGCGACACTCAGCCACCATGTCTCGGGCACACTTAGCGACCTTGCCACTGGTCATGCGGCCAGAGCTCCTGGCATTCTGGCTGAGCAATCGCAGAACCGACTTGACACTGTTGGGAATAGCAGCCCCGCTATCCAACATGTCCGACAGCGTTTCGATGTATTCGTTCTCGCAACGCAAGGTCTGCTTGATCAATTGCTGGCGATATGGAGCCAGGTTGGCGTGGAACTGACGGCATGTTCGGGAAAGGGCGTGCAGAGTGTTCAAGTCCACCGAACGAGCCATCTCCTTGATGATTCTGTACCCGTAGTCAGCACAACATACCGAACCAGACACTGGAGCGGCCTGGTTCAAAGTGTCTCATACGGATAGCAGCTCAAAGCAGCTGAGAAAGCGTTCCGATTCGGGTTCTGTTGTTCTTTAGAAAGAGAAGAAATGTTGTGTAACGGATCTGCAGAGCGATCATCGTCTGCCGATACATCCGCTGAGTGATGAGGATCACCCGAACCAACGAGCAAAGGCTTGGAAAACCCGGGGGTGTGGGGTTCTTTGTAGGGATGAAGGAGGGTATGAGAGGGGCCCGATATATGATGCGTGCTGAGCACATCATCATCGTAGTCGATAAACACCACCATCCTGCGTCGAGGATAGAATGATGCAGTATGAGATGAAGAGTTTCACGTTCCACGGGAGCTCGCTACCCGGCGACAGTCTGAATAAACAACGGCAAATCCAGACAATCCAGATAGATCAATTCAGCTGGGCCATTATAGGCTTATATCGCGTAGAAACGAGCGTGTGTGTCCGTTGACCCGTGCAGTGGAATGATACGGCAGGAAATCATCCAGCTCCGGGTTCGGCGCGGGTCCTTCAGATCAACAGCAGTGGTTCGTCTCGGCGATCCAGAATCCGTGGCGGGTTTGGAAGTGGATCCGGCGGTTTCAGGCAGATTCTGCAGGGGACGGGGGAGGTAGAGAGATCATATCAGATCGTCCTCGTGGATCTCTGACCATCTTATCGGGGCGATGGAGGACGAGGAATCGAAGGATGAGCCGACGAGGCACCCCCTTGGATTGCCAACGTCACGCGTCGGCCGTCAGGTGCACGCCTTTCCCCATCCGGAAGGTGCTCTTCCCCTCCGCTCTTCGGCCGCTTCCTCGCTCTTTCTTTTCCTTCCTCCCTCCTCTTCTCGGGTCCTCGTTTCATTCCCTACATGGTCCTTGGGACGGATGCAGTGAGGAAAAGGCCTGAGTGCTCCTGGTGAGTTGATGCTCAGTTGTTTGCCTAGCCAATCCGATCCATGGATGCCTCTACGCCCGCCCCGGAGAGTCCCCCGAAGTATCCTCGGGAAATGCCCCGACTACCCCGATAAGATAGCGTCTCCAACGCGCCGGCGGGGTAAAAGCACGTCTTCCTTTGGCCGCACCGGGTTGATCAATGAATCCATCCCTTCGTTATCTTGTTCCCAGCCCGATTTAGTAGCCCTTAAAATTCCGCTCTTTTCCCTTCGATTCACCTCCGCCAGTTATCCTTTGAACCTGCTGTACTTCACGCGGAGCTCTACCAGACTGCAACCACTACCCGATAAGACGTCAAGATGCCTCTAAACTCCAAAGCTGTTTATTCTCGGCTCAACCCTGATTTCGCCCCTTTTTCGAGTCGAAGGAGTACTGTCCATAGCACCAAAGGCATCGTGTCTTGCACCCAGCCATTGGCGGCCGCCGCGGGTCAAAGAATTCTGAGTGAGGGGGGTAATGCTGCGGTATGTCGTGATTGAACTCGAAATTCCTTAAATGAATGCGCTGCTGACTTCTCAAAAAAGGATGCTGCTGTGGCCGTAGGTCAGTGTGGTACGTGTCTCTGAATATACTGGAAATTAATCACAACGTATCCAATAGCTGCTGCATTGAATATCACGGAACCCTCATCCACAGGAATCGGTGGTGACATGTTCTGTCTATTCTACGATGCCAAAACTAAGAAAGTTCATTCGTTGAACGGCTCTGGCCGCTATCCTGCCAATGCTACTCTTGACAAGATCCGTCAGGATCTGAAGATCGGCCCTAACGAGTCTGGGAGCATACCAATGACCAGCGTCCTGGCCGTCACAACCCCTGGTGCAGCTGCAGGATGGGTGGATACAGTCGAGAAGTTTGGCAGCGGAAAGCTGTCTTTAGAACAGATCCTACGTCCAGCCATCGAGCTAGGTGAGGACGGCTTCCCCGTGTCAGAGCTCGCATCTTTCTTTGTAAGCACATATTGCCATTTCGTGCTCGTCATCCACCGAATACTAATGTCTCTATAGTGGCATGAAAGCGAGCACTTGATTCGTAAAGCATCTCCAAATTACCATGAAATGCTCAAGCCCGATCCGAATGCTCAAGATGGTGTTAGGAGTCCTCGCCCCGGAGAGATCTTGAGAAACCCCACGCTGGCCCACACATTCCGAGCACTTGCCGCAGAAGGGAAGAAGGGATTCTATGAAGGACGGGTTGCGGAGGAATTGGTCAAAGTCGTCCAAGATCTGGGAGGCTACATAACTCTGGAAGATCTCAAGTACCATGCGGAAACGGGAAGCCAGGAAACAGAGGCCATCTCACTCAAGTTCACTGGCCAAGATATTGTGGAGAAGCAGGCCCCTGGCACATCCGATGAAATTAACCAAGGCGTGGAGATTTGGGAGCATCCGCCAAATGGACAAGGTATCGTTGCGCTTATGGCCTTGGGTATTCTTGAGGAACTAGAGCGTACGGGAAAGATCCCGAAGTTCACCGAGTCTCAGCACAATTCCGCCGAGTATCTACATGCTGTCATTGAAAGTCTCCGTATTGCATTTGCTGATGCTTCCTGGTGGGTCACTGATCCTGACGTGGAAAATGTCCCTAGCAAGGACCTCATATCGCGCGAATACCTGGCAGAGCGGGCTAAGCTGTTCAGCCCTCAAAAGGCCTCTGATATTCTTGACCATGGTAGCCCTGCCCACAATCATTGCGACACTGTCTATTTTGCAGTGACAGACAAGGAAGGAAATGGCATATCATTCATCAACAGCAACTACGGTGGATTTGGGACAAGCATTATACCCAAAGGATGCGGGTTTACGCTCCAAAATCGGGGAGCGAACTTCTCGCTGACCCCTGGGCATCCGAATGTTCTGGCCCCACACAAACGACCTTATCATACTATAATCCCGGCAATGATCACCAATGTCTCAGATGGTTCTCTGCATTCGGTATATGGTGTCATGGGTGGCTTCATGCAGCCGCAGGGACATGTTCAGGTCCTGCTCAACATGCTTGCATTCAATTATCATCCCCAGGCTGCACTCGACGCTCCTCGCATTTGCATTGCGGCTGGCACTCCCGAGATAGGGAAGACTATTGATCGAACAGTCTATGTTGAAGAAGGAGTCAGTAATGAAGCTGTCGAAGGCCTGAAGCAGTTGGGTCATCAGGTCAAGGTTCTGACTGGATGGAAAAGGGGCATGTTCGGCCGAGGACAGATTATCCGTTGCCATTACGATGATGGGAAGTTGATATACAGTGCTGGAAGTGACTTGAGAGGTGATGGAATGGCAATCCCGGTCTTGTGAAGCATATACTAGACTATCAAGAGATACGCATCCTAGGAGGGTAACCGATATATTGAATTATCATATCTCAAGCCCAGGAAAAGCTAATGACAGCTAAGGAAAACAGAACGCAAGGTAAACCCTCGTGAAACATGTAGCACTTTTTTTTTCCAGGGACAATAACTAAGATAGAGATATGACCATGGATGGAAGGGAAGTCATCATCATAATTTGCATGCAACATACATGAAACGGTAAGATACAGAAGAATAGAACCGAAATAGGCTAACATGACAACAAAACCCACAAGTGCCCCAATCCATATGCTATGATCGCTGATGCATACAATGAAGGGACTAACAAAGGAAATGTGTCAGGGGGAAAGTACATGAAAAGGTAAGGGGGAAAGAATAGAAAAAGGAAAACAGTGATCATAAGGCATAAGAAAACAAGAAGAACGAAAATCCAAGAACCGATCAGTGAGCAGCAATTGCAGCCTTGAAGAAGCCTTTTAATTTGGAAGGACCGCTCGGCGGGGGAGAAGGCTCGCGGCGATGCTTGTGATGACGATGGCGAGTTTCTCCACTGCGATAATGGCGACGTTGTTCGGACTCCTCTTTTGCCCTAGCTTCCTCCTCTTGTTGCTGCTGTTCGGCTTTTCTGCGCTCTCTGCGAGCCTCACGCCGGGCGCGGGCTTGGGCTTCTTCGTCGTTGTCGTCGGGACGCGATTCCCCGGAACGTTCGCTGCTGCTCTTGCCTTCTTGTGATTGGCGATGACTGCTGCTGTGGTGGCTGGAAGATGACCTTCTCTCGCGATTGTAGACATTGGCAGAGGCTTTAGCTCCGTTGATCTTCAATAGGGGACCGTTTGTGTCTGATTGCGCTTCAGCCATGTATTTGAGGAAGAACTTGGGCCCGGATTGCTGTGTATGGCGTGATGAAGACGACGAACTGCTTTTCCGCTTCATTTCCTGGCTTCCGGAGTGTTCGGAGCGTTGACTTGACCTAGCTGGTGCGGTTTCCTTTGCACTCATGGATCGTTCGGATTGTTCAGCGGAGTTTCCAGGTCGCTCAGAGCGCCTTGGACGCTCGCGCTCTTGTCTCCGCTCCCTATCGCGGGCTTCTTTGCGCTCGCGCTCGCGCTCTTGTTCTCGTTCCTGTTTGCGTTCTTCTCGTTTGCGCTCACGCTCTCGCTCCCGCTCTTGTTTGCGTTCTTCCTCTCGTCTGCGCTCTCGTACACGCTCTCGTTCTCGTTCGCGCTCTTGTCTGCGCTCTTCCTCTCGTTTCCGCTCTTGTCTGCGCTCTTCCTCCTGTTTCCGCTCTTGTCTGCGCTCCTCCTCCTGTTTCCGCTCTTTTTCGCGCTCTCGTTCTTGTTCTTGTACTCTTTGACGCTCCCGTTGGCGTTCCCTCTCTCTATCTCTTCCTCGCTCCGAAGATCGGTGCTCTTTCTCGACAACCTGAGTCTTCTGCTTTTGTTTCTCTTCATGTTGTCTCTTGGACTCCCTCAAAGCTTGCGCCCATCGGCCGGCAAGACCAACACGTTCAGTCTCCTGCCGTTTTAGTGACCGGCGTCCATCAGAGGAGCTTCTTGATTCCTTGCGATCGTAGTCGACTTCAGGCGATTTCCTGTGCCTCCTTCGTGCATTTGTCTGGTGAACTGCTGCGGCGGCTGCGGCAACAGCAGCGCCCCTGGCGGCGGCTCCAACTAGCGTATCTCCTGTCGAGGATTCAATAGCCTCGGTCTCTTCTGAAGGTTCCGAGCTCGGATCTGCCTCGTATCCTCCTTCACTTTCCCCAGTATCTTCTTCCGGAAGTGGCTCCGCGGGAGCTGATGGCTCAAGTGAGATTGATTTCTCGACGATTTCTGTCTCGGATTGAGTTGGCTGCTCCTCGGGAGTTGATTCTTCGATTGGAGCTTGTTCTTCGGCAGCAGGCTCTTCGACGGAAGCAGGTTCATTGGCAGGTTCATTGGCAGGTTCATTGGCAGGTTCATTGGCAGGTTCATTGGCAGGTTCATTGGCAGGTTCATTGGCAGGTTCATTGGCAGGTTCATTGGTAGGTTCATTGGCAGGTTCATTGGCAGCGGGCTCTTCGGCGGCGGGTTCTTCAGGAGCGGGTTCTTCGACTGGTGCCGGTTCTTTGACTGGTGCCGGTTCTTCAGCAGGAGCCGGTTCTTCAGCAGGAGCAGGTTCCTCAACAGGAGCGGGTTCCTCAACAGGAGCGGGTTCTTCAGCAGGAGCAGGCTCTTCGATGGGCGCTGGTTCCTCGACAGGAGCAGGTTCCTCAGCAGCGGGTTCTTCAAGAGGAGCAGGTTCCTCAGCAGCGGGTTCTTCGATGGGCACTGGTTCCTCAGCAGGAGCAGGTTCCTCGACAGGAGCGGGTTCCTCAGCAGCGGGTTCCTCAGCAGGAGCAGGCTCTTCGATGGGCGCTGCTTCTTCAGCAGGAGCGGGTTCTTCGGCAGGCACTGGTTCTTGAGAAGCAGGCTCCTCCACTACTGGTTCTTCTGCAGCAGGCTCCTCAGTGGGAGAGGCTTCTTCAGCGACAGGTTCCTCGACGTGAGGCTCGTCAGCAGGAGCAGGATCTTCGATTGCTGGGTCTTCGACTGCTGGCTCGTCGGCAGCGGGCACCTCCACTGGAGCCGGCTCCGCAGAAGCAGGTTCTTCAGCTAGTTCTGGCTCTCCAGGAGCAGACTCCTCCACGACTGGTTCTTCGGCAGCAGGTTCCTCAGCGGGAGGTATTTGTTCAACTGCAGGTTCCTCCACAGGGGATTCCGCACCGGGAGCAGGCTCTTCAGCTGCAGGTTCTTCAGCAGCGGGCTCATCTACGGCAGCCGGTTCTTCCGCCACAGCCTCGGCAGCAGGCTCGTCTGTCGATTTTTCAGCGGGTGAAGATTCATCAGGTGCGGACTCTTCAGCAGGCTGGTTTTCCTCGAGCGGTGCCTCGATAACCGCGTCTTCAGCCGCAGTAGACTCACCAGGCTCGGGCTCAGGTGGTGTCTCATCTGGAGCTGGAGGATCCTCGGCCGCAGGCTCTTTGATAGTAGTCTCAGCAGGAGCGGAATCCTCAGCCACAGCTTCAGTGGCCGACTCTTCTAAGGCAGGCTCTTCAGAAACGATATCACCACCTTCTTCTGCGAGCACTTCCTCACTAGATGGCGAGTCTTCAGAAGCTGCCTCCTCCGTAGTTTGCTCGGGTTGTTCTTCGACACAACCTGGCTCTTCTGTTGGCGCTTCCTCTGCGGGAGCTTCAGCGGGGGCATCCTCAGGTTCAGCGTGTTCATCAGCGGTAGCTTCCTTAATTGTGGCCTCGGCTTCTGGAGCTTCCTCTCCTATGGCTGGCTCTTCTGGAATCGATTCCTCGGCCGGTTTCTCCTCAGGCGCCGTCTCACCCTCCACTTCTTCCGAGCTAGGTGATTCCGGAGTTGTCTCCGCTGTCGCTGGGGGTTCATCGGTAGAGCCATCGACTGACTCAGGATTTGTTGCTTCCTCAGGCGGTGTCTCTTCACTCGATGCCTCTTCTGCTACTGGTTCCGCTGCTTCAATGATTTCCTCGGGGGTATCTGAAACTTCGGGCTCGTTTGCTGCGTTGTCAGCAACGGGCTCTTCGGCAGGCTCCTCTATGGGCGCAGTTTCTCCAGCAGGGATCTCAGCGGACCCTTCTTCTGCATCGTTGGTTGGGTCTTCTTCAGCGACAGGTAATTCAGAGGGCTCATTGGATGCTTTTTCGCCAGACTCAACATCCGCAGTGGCTTCATCAGCTGTTTCGGGGGTTGCAGTCTCATCGGAAGGAGAATCTTCCTCTGCAGCAACCGGCTCTTCCGGTCCCTGCTCTTCTGCTGGCGCTGACTCAGTATCAGGTTGAGCGTCAGTTTCGTCTGCCGCTGCATCCCCGGCCGGCTCTGGCGCACTCTCTTCCGCTGGTGCTTCCTCTGCGGGCTCTGTAGTATCAGACGAGTCTTCTGCAGCTTGAGGTTCCTGTTTTTCTTGAGCACAAGGCGGCTCTGTTGTATCTGGTTTTTGAGCGGGCTCGGGTGGCGCTTCGACCTCTGGCTCTTGGCCCTCTTCCTTAGATTCCGTAGTCGGCTCTTTGGGAGATGCAGCGCCACTATCGTTCGCTCCAGCATCGTCGGGGCTAGGGCCGTCGTCATTGTTCGGGGACGCAGCTTCTCCTTGTTCGTCGCTTTCCGCGGGAGACTCTGCAGTTGCATCTTGCCCATCATTGTCAACATCGACGTCGATCAAGTCTTCTGGTGTGACTTCCGGTGTGGCTTCAGCTTCGAGCTTGGCGTCTTCAGCCGCTTGCTTGTCGGCTTCTTCTTTTTCGGCTTCGACCTTGTCAAGTTCTGCGGAAGGATCACATTCTGGGAAGTCATCCTCGAAGTGTAAGGTCAGCTGGCTTTGGGAACCGATATTGTTATTGAGCGTACCATTGTTGGGGGCTTCAGTGTTCTCCTCAGGGGGCGTGTCGTCTACATCCGCCGGAGCAACTTCTTCGGCTTGTTCCAATTCTACGTCTTTTGCCTCATCCTCAACAGGTTGTTCGCTGGGAGAGCTATCCTCTGGTGTCTGAGCCGAGTCGTCTGCTTCTGGAGCGGGGCTTTCGCCTTCCTCTTTTGATTCGGTGGTCGCATCGCCGGAAGCTTCATCAGTCTCTAGGGGTGGCGTTGTCGTTTCCGATGAACCTGGTAATAATGATTAGGATGCAAATAGGACAATGATGACATGTACCGCATGAGTGGATGGAATAATACATGTTGCCGTGGGCCAAGGGAGTGGGGGGAGGGAGTAGAGGGAGGTATAACATACCTTCCGATTCAGGAGACGTTGAACCGTCAGCAGAGGTACTATCTGATCCTTCTTCTGGGGGACTCTCGGCGGCCGGGTCTTTCTCTGGTTCGACGGGGTTGTTGTTGTTGTTGTCCTGATCCTTAGCCGGCGTCAGATGATCCGTAGATGTAGCAGTGACAGGGTAATATGAAAATTGAAAAGTTTGACGGTCGAAGGTCTGATAGTGACGCTCGAAAGACTGGTACTCAAACTTGGGGAGCTGTGCATACTGGACCGGGTGGTGCTCCATCTTCTCCGACTTCAACCGCTGCTTCCGGGGCTAGATCAGGGGGGGAGTTTTGTTCTTTGGAAAGTGGAATGTCGTTTACCGGGAGCCGTTGCTTATTATTATTGTTCTTCTTCTTCTTGTTGTTTCCTTTTTTACCCATGGCATCGGATCAGTGGCGTTTCTTGGGCTCTGCTGACCACTTTTAGAATGGGTGTGACAAGCGAATATAAATCTATTGAAGAAATATGACATATGCCTGTCGGGTTCTAGACAGGGCGTAGAAGACAGGGGGATGGCGAATAAAGAATAACCAAAAATAGGGGCAACGCAAGAAAAAGGAATGTGAAACGAGGGAGATGTGTAATTGCTGGGTTTAGCTAGCGCTATAGTATGAGAGGCTGGACGCGCAAAGGAAAAAGCAGCATAGGCCCGATGGTCCGCCAACAACAGTGTGGTTCCTCTCGAGGACCAAGGCGAGGCGACGTATCGTAGTGCATCGGCTACCCAGTGCAATGGGACATTGTCCAGGCATGGCTCGGGCTTGGGGCTGGGAACGTCATGGACGAACTGCCCGACGGCATCTCTTATCATTGGGCCACGTTGTACGGGCCCCATGGCCCTCGCGGACGGACATAGAAAGAGGGTCTCTTCCGGAAGCATCACTGGGGCAAGGGGGAGAGCCGGTGGAGAGCCATCTGCAGCAGAAGCTTGCAGTAGCAAGCAGGTGGTGGCGGGGGAGGGGGGTGTGGATGAGGAGTGTGGTCCAGATAGGATGGCAAGACCGCAGGAATTGGATGCTTCGTAGGGTATGCCATTAGCGTGGTGGGGGTGGTGCCACAGCGCCATCGGGATACCCTTTGGCGTCCACTTTTTCTTGATTATTCTGTTTGCCTGTGTCCTCTTGCGGCCAGGAGCATTGAATAGTTCCAAAGTATTGTTGTTAGCCAATGCCCTGCAAGTACTTTGTACGGGGTAGAAAAGCAGTTGGCGTGAAAAAGCAATGGGTACAGGCAGAGACCTGCGCCTTGAGAATGCAAGGTCAAATGATTGATCTCAGGCCTAGTGAATAAACATAGCCAATCACGCCGGCACCCGGAACAATGAAAGGCGAAAAGCCATCAAAAGTGTAAGGGCGACTATGGTTACTCCGACCTGTTGAGTACACTCATCACCAACATTAGCATCCACACATCCTAGTACTCCGGAGACCGTCGAGAATTCATGCCCAACGATTGTTGCAGCAATAGCAATAGATTGGATGCATGGGACCAGGAAGATGGAGACTGGGTCCCTGGCAAAAAAGAAAGCTAGGGGGGTTGGGTGTAACTAGGGTGCGATGCCATGGCCATTGTCAGGATTACTGTTGCGACTGTGCTCTGTTCGGTGGGTAAGGGCGATCAATCATTGACAGCAGCAGCATCACTATCACCATCACGACAGAGGAGACGGGCGATGAGAGATGAAGATCTCAGCCCCATGATTATTGGTACCATACCATGGAAATCGAGACGAAGCCAGAAGAACCGGGAGGAAACGCCTGACGGAATAATGGAAAGGAATGGAAGGGGAGGAGAGGAGAAGGGATTCGCAACTCCACTGGACACTTCACCCGCCGCAGATCACTGGACCGCCCAACCCGGACTAGTGGCTTCCCCCCCGATCGCAACAATTCAACAATTCCCCTTCACATTCCCCCCAAATATTCCAGGTACTATGTAAGTAACAGTACTAGGCACCACAGACTTCCATCGTGTCTCCAGTCCTCGACGATATTCCCCGATCCTCGGGATCTATCTCTCTATCTATCTCTCTGGTGATAAGCATCTCGATGGGAAAGAAACCTAGTAGGATGATGGACTGTCGCACCCACCGATAAGTGAGGCGTTGCTGCTCTGGCAGTCGGTGAGTGGCTGTCGTCGCACCCACAATCAGGCCCGTTGAGGAGGCGTCGTGACTGATTAGATGGATAGCTGCAACACACAGCGGAATATCGTGATGCTAACCCGATTCCTCCGACACTTTTCTTGGCCACCCGCCCATCAGGCAAGCTGCCCAGCTTGCAGGCCTGCACAGTGCGTACAGTTGACGGCTCCGGCCCCGATCTGACTGGAGCTATACAATCCGCCGGCGTCAATGCCTCTTCTTCCCTCTGGCCAAAACCCCCTCCACGTCACCACTCACCAATCTATCTATTGCCATCGGAACTGCCGTCACAATCTGAGATACATCGATGTGTGCGAGATCTATCTGCGCCTGTCATTATTACTAGATCTTTCTATTGCCAGCGAGTTCGTCAGGTCAGGTCCAGATCGCCGATTGCCCGCAGATCTCTCCTAGGTACCCATTCTACGTAGCGTGCGCCCAAAGTACGGTCGTACAACTGCAGATGCCAGGTCCGACAAAATGTCATTTTCATCGTGACTTTACCACCCCAACCTTTCTTCCGTCAACGCGCCCACCACCCAATGATCCTGGTCGAGGCCGCCTTCGGTGTCATCCCACGCTGGTCAATGCAGCGGGCCGGAAATGGCTGCCTCGCTGCTCGATATCACCACCACCCCTGGCCATAGCCATCATATTAACCTCTAACCATTGAAATCGCTTATGCACCTTGCCGCTTCGTCCCGGCGGACCTCCTTGCTGGTCCCATCTCATCCACAATCCCTCGGTCCGTGGCTCTTTAGGCGAAATACCGTCGGAACCATACACGTACTATGTACTTCGTGCTTAGACCCGCACTGGGTCAGCCTGTGCTGTCAAGGTATCTGGCATCAAAAAACCTTCCCGCCTGCTAAGATACGAGAATGGGATTGTTGGAAGCGTGAGAGCTATCATAATCAACTACGCTCGCCTTTTCTATGGATTGTTTGGGTACCTACCGCTGCCGGCAGTGTAGACACTCGGGCGCAATATGAAACACTCATGAGGCTCCCAATTAGAATTGTTCCGGATTCGTCCAACCAGATATTGATTCGGACCATTTTATTGACATCAGCGTTCAACCCTCTAGTGTCATTGACCCATGCGATAGGTAAGTGTCGTTCGCCACAGCCTAGAAGAGGCATCTGGCCTCGCTTGGGCTTCGTTAAGTCTAAAAATAACAAGATTCATACTTTTAGGTATCCTCAAGCCGTAAAAGCCCCCGGAAGACGTTGAGCCATTCACACCTATTATGTCGGCGCGAATTTGACTCCTCAAGCCAGGCTCGGCTTTTCATGAAATTCGAAGACACCGGCGAATTTCCCGAGAAAAGAAAAAAAGCCAAGAAGGAAAGGCTATATGCAAACCGTCTAATATGATCATGACAATGCGTAACGATCACCAACAGAGTCTAGCCTGAGAAACCAGACCTTGGTACCCAATACAACGCTCCAGGCTCCATACCAAACGGCAAATTCAACCATAAAGGACGTCATTTTCTTAGCGCATCCATGGAATTTCTCCATCGAGGTCCGTAAACTTTCATCACAAAAAGGACGGAGCTGCTTGCAAACGCAACCAGGCCAAGGATGGTGAAAAGCCATCCGTTGCCAATGGCATCGATGATTGGGGCAGTGACTACTGAGCCCACACATGAGAAGATATTCCGCATGAAGTTGTTCAGTGCGACGCCTGCAGAGGACTTTTTGGGCATGAACTCTGTCAGCATGGTCGTTGCCATGCCGAAAATGAGCATTGATCCAACGCCAAAGAAGAAATTGGCAATCATCTAGGCAATATTAGTCAGGAAGGTGTCACGAAGTGTTGCAAAGCAGGACACAAGAAAGATCAGGTGCGTGCGGCAGTCATTGTCAGCCACCAGCAAGAACATACCGGTGCTAGCCAGAAGACGCCTCGGTCTGCACACCAACCATACCAAATTAGCCCAGCAGGATAGAGGACAGCTCCAAGCCAAGCATTCTCCCGCATCCGGTCTTCGGGATGGTAGATCAGCTTGCCATTTTCGTCGTATCGCTTTGCCTTCTTGGCCTCCCGTTGCATGATATTGTCCATCCAACGACCTCCAAAGGAGCTAGCAACAACATAGCCTAACGAGTTGGGAATATAAAGCAGGCCAACAATAATTGTACTGAAGTTGTATGGGCTAGCGCCGAATGTGTGCTCGACACTGACGTTTAGCACATACAGCGAGCCAAAGGTGATGCTCGCATAGTATACAGTTAGTAAAACTGGGGGATAGCGCAGGTAGAGAATGATTTTCAAGGGGTCGAGAAGAACCATTTTAAGGACCTTCAGCCACTTGGTGGTGAACCGAACAACCTTTCGAGAGGACACTCGGCTTAATTGGCGCTGGACCGGTTCCTCGTGCTCGTCTTTTATGTCCTGTGTCTGGGTTTTTGTGTTTGCCAGCGTTTCTGGGAGGGCGAAGAAGATAAACACCACGGTAAGACCTCCATAGGCAGCTAAAAACCACAACGTACTCCGCCAACTCCACCGTTCAGCTAACGCGCCACCCACAATAGGAGCTATCAAAGGTCCACATAGCGGACCTAGATAGAAGATGTTCATGGCTCGTCCTCTTTCTTGCGGGTCCCACAGATCCGCGATGGTTCCTGCGCCAACGGCCTGAACTGATGCAGATGCACCACCACTTAACATCCGTAGTACAATGAGCATAGCGATCGAACTAGAGATGGCGCATAGAGAGTTGAAGACGACGAAGAGGCTGAAGGAAACGAGATATATTGTTCGTCGCCCCAGTCTTTCGCTGAACGATGACCACCACAGTGGGAATATGGACATACTGAGCATGTACAGCGAAATCGATAAGTTTGTGACAGTGGTTGACGTGCCAAGCTCTTTGGATACTTGAGAAAGGGACGCTGTTCTTCCGGTAAGCGCACGGAGAAACGAAGTCAACATCAAGAGACACGATCGACTTACGGAAGAAGATTGAACTACCCATTGGGGCTGCAGCTCCGGCCACAGCGACCACGAAAGTGATGAACCATTTTGTCTTTCGGGGGTAAACCTTAGGGTTCTCTACCTCTGCCAGAAATGTGAGCTGACCAAATAGCCCTCTCCGCTTTAATCTCGGTACCACTACCGGAGGTTCTTGTTCTTCATTTGAGATAGAGCACACAGGTGCTTCCTCGTCTTTCCCTTCAATGACCGGAGTGTCGTCCGAGGCCTGAGAAATTGAGTCATGGGCGTGTTTCACATCGGTGATTTCGTCATCAGATCGGATTGCTTCAGGGTGACTGTGACCAGCAGGGGGGGCTTCCACCACCTCGGCTTCAGGAATTCCTTTCGTTGATGCCGCCATCTTCTGTCTTGTAGACCTCTTCCATATGAGATCTCGAGGATCCGAACGGCACGTCAAAGCTCGTCTCGCCCAGGGCCACAATAACAGTCGAAACAGGCCAAGAGAAAAAGAGAGAAAGGAGATAATACCATGCGCTAAATGGCCTTGCAGGCGATGTCACTGACTAATGGTCAATATGAGGCATAAGGGATGAGCTGCCAGGACTATGGCATAAGTATGGGAGCCGTGGTGAGAGAGTAAAAGGAAGGTCGGTCGCCCGCGATTAGATAGTAGAGAAAGTTGGAGTAGGAGTGGTGCCTCTGCCCAATTGTTATCTGCGGTGCCTGGTCCCTAAACAGGCAGGTAGGAATGGGCCCTCCCCCACCTGCCTCCAGTTGCATCTGATACCATTGGCTTGCATGCAAGACTTGGGGTATTGGGTGGGCATTGCTTAGATCCTGCCCGGATTCTTATCTGGACAGTAAGTATGTGCGCGACAGTGGTTTACTTATCGCCAGGGCTGTCATCAACATCTCCATATCATCTACCTTGTGATACTTAATTCATGTGATGATGAGGACGGTGATACATGTACACCGCCACGCAAATCGCACGCCATTATGATGACAAATTGAGTGAGAAATGTATGATGAATGTGTGATTCTCTAATATGGCACTTTACTAACCAGTGTTCTAGAGCCATGAGTCCATCAACCTAGCCCTCCCTCCATACCATAGGGGGCAAAGTCAAATCCAGGACTGGCCAGTCAGAGACGGTTCAACTTGTGCCGTCCCATCCGACGGCGGTCATTTCCGCCCCTGTGGGCACTAAGTATCTCCTTTGCCGAGGTCAGACTACTGATAGCCGGGGACGTTTCTGTCCCGCTTGGTGGTGGGGATGAAGAATGAGAATTAAGATTAACAGTAAAGCTGTATGGTATCTACCGAAAGCTGATAACACTTTCGTATAGGTATATCAGAATTCCATCTGCACATGGAGCATAATAACTTGGCCACTCGGTCTTCATTTTCCAGAACATACTATCTGTCACCCAGGTATCCTGATCTAGTAATGACCAAGCAGGATGTATTGATATAACTATCCCCATGTTACGCCACTATAATAAAGCTAATGAGAACATGGCTTTCCAATCTAGTGGATCCGGGATTTATTCGCTAGCCTTGACAACTTCACATTATCAGTAAGCTTTGCTCAGCCCTTCATCAAATAACCTGCTTCCGAAAACGGAATATTTTCATATTGCCAGCAGGCTACCTTGGTGGCAAGTCAAATAAGATATTTTGTGTCGTATATTAGCCAAAATAACACTACAATCTCTCTACAGACCCCCCAGAAACATATACAAAACAGTATACTACATAGACATCAACTCAATCCCCCATCATGTTCAACAATAGATATCCAGCCCCCGCAATCCATCCAAAACCCATGGACGACAACTGACCACCCACTCTACTAGTAGTGGATACTCCCTTCCATTTCCGCCAGCTTGCCCCACGCCCCTACCCTCAACCTCTAGACAATTCCACTCCAGAACACCAATTAACCCCAACATCCTCAACTACGTACACCCTACACCCAAAGTACCTATACAACTTCCCCCAGCAACCACTCACACCAAACCCCTGTCACCAATACCTCCATCCAACGCAGGGATCTACTCCACCACCACCACCACTATGTCTAACCCCGCCCAGCAATTCGTCCACAACACTCTAGCCAAATACCCCGGGGAGGAATACATCGACGGATGGGCCGAGATCTGGACCACGAACAATTCTCCTCCGTGGGATAAAGAATCCCCCAATCCGGCGTTGGAAGATACATTGACGCAGCAGCGGGCGACTATCGGTGGTGCGATTGCAACGGACGAAGAGGGGAAAAAGAAGTACAGGAAGAAGGCGTTGGTTCCGGGCTGTGGGAGGGGGGTTGATGTGCTTCTTTTGGCGAGTTTTGGGTATGATGCTTATGGATTGGAGTATAATGGTGCTGCGATTGAGGCGTGTAGGCAGGAGAATTTGAAGAGTACTAATAATGGGGATAAGTACCCTGTTAGGGATGTGGAGGTTGGGCGGGGAGAGGTGGTTTTTGTGCAGGGTGACTTTTTAAGGATGATTGGTTGAAAGAGTTGGGGTTGGGGTTGAATTGTTTTGATTTGGTTTATGATTATACGGTGAGTGTTGGGATCTCTTTACTAAGGTTACCTTGAGTGCTGGCCAAAGGCGCTGGGGTTCTACTGTAGTATATGGACGCTTGCTGATGGTACGATGGCAGTTCTTCTGCGCGCTGAGTCCCTCGATGCGGCCTGATTGGGCTCTTCGGCACACCCAACTATTGGCGCCTTCGCCACGAGGAAATTTGATCTGCCTTGAATATCCAAGACACAAGGACCCGTCGCTTCCGGGTCCTCCGTTTGGTCTCTCCTCGGAGGCTTACATGGAGCACCTCAGCCATCCCGGAGAGCAGATCTCGTATGACGCCCAGGGTCGAGGCAGAATGGACCCTCTCCGCGAACCAAGCGAGCGAGGACTGGAACGAGTGGCTTATTGGAAACCTGCTCGGACGCACGAAGTTGGCAAGAATTCCAATGGTGAGGTTCAGGATCGAGTTTCCATCTGGCGCCAGAGGTAAGGCCCTCATTGAGATTCCTGCGATTGGCAAGTATCTCCGAGGTGAGAGTCAATGCCTGAATTGGTCAATAACCCGATGTTCGATTGACTTTTGTTTATGCGCTTCTCTATGTATGTTTGGAGAGTGCGTTGTAATGCTCCCCAAGTCCGTATGTATGTCTGTAGTAAGCCAACCAGATGACCCGTTTGCTTCCCTCTTCACCTGGTACGTCATCGCCCGGTTCGATCTTTTCGATTCTTCCATCGCCCTGGATGACATTGATCTCAACGCCATATGCCCTCGCAATCGCTTGTAGCTCAAACTGGCCACCCCATTCGGCTGTCAACTTTATTTTCCTGGTGTACTGATCCAGAGGCTCCTCCATGAATGGTTCAAAGTCGTCTTTATGGTCGCTGATGAAGTCCGCGGCGACAGCTCTAACTGCCCGATACCCGTCGTGTTTTGCGGACGCCACTGTATCCACACGAGACTGGGTCGGAGGCTGGAGGATCATCCTCTTCGGATCGGGTTTCAGACCGATTCCTTGCTCGTCCAACTGACACGCAATGGCAGAGAAGAGACAGTGTCCATCAGGGTTTATTTCAACCTCCTTCAACTGCAAACGCTTGAACACGCCATCCATGACCTCTTTCTCATTTCCACGATGATCTGTCTGGTTTGCGGCCTCCTCCGCCGCAATCGCTGACTGGGCTGCTTGTTCCGCTGCACGACGCGCCAGACGGGCCTTTTGACGATTGGGCTTTTTGGGACGAGGACCGGAGGATTGCGGGGCAGTGGAAGGAGGGCTTTGCGGCGAAGACGTTGTCTCGGTGGTGGTATCTGCATTTTCGTGATCTGGTGAGCTGCTAGCTTCATCAGACGCGTTCAAACTGAGGTCTTCCAAGCCATCAACGGGCTGATCTGGCTCGCCGTTAAGTTGCGCGATCTCAGCTTGTTGTCGCTCGGAGACCTCTCTCTGAAGCCTCTCACACTCATCGTTGACTCCCTTGCGAGTTTTCTTGGTGGCAGACTTTTTCTTCTGGGTGATTCGAGCTTGGAGATCTTTTTGTTCCTTGCGGTGTTTAGCTAGTAGCTCCTCCATTCTTGGAGATGTGGGGGGTGCGGTTCCAAGTGAATATCTATAACTCTAGAAAATTTCGATAAAATGGACGAGAAACGAGTGAAATGTTAAACTATGCAAAGTGCGGACAAGGGTATCGTGGCTAAGTATGAACTTCAGTGCTGGACATGCAAATAGGTTGGATGAACCAATTGCTGCCCCGCCAGAGCCTTCCTGACTTTTCTCGACCATCCGGTCGGCTCCTTCCCGTCAAGCATTCCTTTGCGTTTGATACCTTAAGGCATCCAATGACCTGCTGAATCAAACGATCTTCTAGATGGGAGACTCTCCCTATAGGAGGAGTTGCATCAAATACCCAAACAAATTCTATCCTTATTGCATCGTTGTCCTGCTTGTCATTGCCATTGCCATGGCTTGCTGGTCATGTACTGTGAAAAGTACCGCATCATTGTTCCTCCGTTCCGCGCAGCCTCGGTATCTTTTACCAAGGCGCTCAGCAACGGCCGGCTGTTCGGGTACAACGCTGTTTCTATAAGGGGCGGATCGTCATCTCGGTCGAGCCTCGATCATGGATGGCTTATTATCAACGTGACCGATCCAACTCCATCATCGATACACAGTTTATTATCCTAGATCTACAACAATCTCCTCAATTTTTAATAGTTTATCACAACACACCATCACCATGGATGTTCAGAAGCTTTTTGACGTCAAGGTTCGTACTGTACTGCGGAGATGCAGAGTGGACGTCCCCGCTGTAGAGCTGACCCAGATGCCTAACAATGTACTTAGGGCAAAGTCGTGCTGGTCACTGGTGGCGCCAAAGGAATCGGTCGTATGATCTCAGAAGGCTTCGTAAAAAACGGTGCCACTGTCTATATCTCGTCGCGGGATGCAAAGGCTTGCGAGGCAGCCGTGAACGAGCTCAACGCGCTCGGCACGGGCAAGGCATATGCTATCCCTGCGAATTTCTACCAAGAGGAGGAGTGCAAAAAGCTGGCTACCGAAATTGCTAAGCGCGAAAGCAGTAAGTTCAAGCCCTAGTCGGCCACTTCCCAGGAGCCAGTGAATCGTGCAAGGAACTCTAGTTTAACCCTCCCTCCAGAGCTGCATGTTCTCGTCAACAACTCTGGATCCAACTGGGGCGCCCCGTACGATGAATATCCATCCTCTGCCTGGACGCGAGTACTCACGCTCAACCTTCATCGGGTATTCGACCTCACCAGACTTCTCACCCCCCTGCTGGAGAAGGCTGCCTCGTCTGGCGACCCGGCTCGCATCATCAACATCGGTAGTGTTGATGGTATAAGGGTCCCTGCTCTTGAAACCTTTGCCTACAGTGCTAGCAAGGCCGGACTGCACCACCTGAGTCGTGTCTTGGCACACCACCTTGGAAGAAGGAATATCACGTATGTGTAACTCCCACGTTGTCGCTGACCGACGAGGCTTGGACTAACCCGGCACTGCCTGCAGCTCAAACGCCTTGGCGTGTGGTCCTTTCGAAAGTAAGATGATGGCTGCCACCTTGAAAGAGCACCGAGAGACCATCGAGGCGAATGTCCCATTGGGTCGTATTGGTACCCCTGAGGATGTCGCGGGGGCTTGTTTGTTCTTGAGCAGCCGGGCTGGCTCGTATGTGAATGGAGCGACAATCACTCTGGATGGTGGTAGCGTAGTCGCTGCCAAGCTGTAAGCTGTAAGCCAAATAGGATGCGCCCTCCGAATAAAGGGATTATGTGCATGCATGAACAAAATCGATCTAAAGCTGTTTATAGAAGGTGTTACCTAGTCGATTGTGAATTCAACTTAGCACTCTTAACTTAAAGCAACGGTGGCTTGTCTGTGCCCCAGTCATGCAAACCATGATAGTTCAAACTCAGATTCAGGCCACCCGGCTCCTTCCTCGACTCTGTATGGCTTTGACATCATCCCGGGGTTGGCATATGACAGGAAAGTATGTCATGCTGACCCTATAGCTCTATTGCTGGGGGCATTGCACAAACCCTCCCCTGATACGGTGATTGATTGGCATTTGCCTGTCTTGCCTTCTCACCCCTCACAACCATCCATAGTGATTGTCTCCTGCAGCTGATGCACATTACAAAAGCAATTTGATGTTGTCCTGCAGCACCCACGCCCAAGGTTGCTGCGGCGATCTTCACTCGCCGTCAGCTACCTGCAAATCCTATCAACACTGTTGGCTCAGAAAATTCCCTCCTACATCTTGAACGTCTTTTTATCGTGCATCCATCTAAGCTCTGCTGACCGACCGCGTGGGGTTTCCGTGGTCTGTGATCGTATTGGTCTGGGCAAATCTCTCATCCAAACAGTTCTCGGCTTTATTGGCACAAAATAAAGGTCTCACAGCGGGCTCTCCGGGGGCCCTGGTCCCGGAAAACGAGTCAAAGAATACTATCGAAACTAGGTAATCCAAGCGTTCTAGTCTTGCGTTTCTGCCGTCTTTTGAACCTTGTGATTGGCTTGATTTTCAACGCGTTGTCGGGACCATTTACAATCCAGTCCCCAGTCTTTGAGCGCTCCTGTTGCCACACAATATGTGGAAGCTGCAGGTTAATTTTATCGCCTTGCATTGTGCGTTGCAGATTCTGGCGGCATCCGGTGGCCCAAGTTATGCTGATTCACTCGAACAGATGCATATATTATTTTCCTGGGTCTCCTGGGATTGGTCATTCTTTATCCCTATAGCAATCTCCGCGCAATTGATTCCTACTTCTTCGGGGTCAGCGCCTCGACCGAATCAGGATTGAACACGTCAGTCGACTATTTCTATATATATCTCCATTGGTCGCTTCTGGTTGGCAGGAGCAAGGACTGACGTGGGTGGTACCCTTAGTGTCGATGTAAAGGACTTGAAGCTTTACCAGCAGCTTTTCATCTACTTCGTTCCGATAGCCTCGAACATCGCATTCATAAACATCTTAGTGGTCGTTGTACGTCTCTACTGGTTTGAGAAACGGCTGAAACAGATCGGTAACTACTTCCTATGGGCTTCGGGCGTCATGTCGAACAGTCACTAATGCGATGACCTCCAACAGCTCCCGGAGTCCTTGATCGAAAGAATGCTTCGCCCAACTGTAGGGACGAATACCATGACCAAGAGGCAAATCCGAGGGTGTCAAGTGAACCTTTCACATCGGGGAATGAGCCAGCCAAATCAACAGAGATGAAAGATGGTGACAACGAGCGCGCTGTTGGGTTCAAGATTGGACACACAGTACCGGATGGGTAAGATAGTAATCGGTGCTTCTCTGCCCCATAGAGGTCACTGTTGATCATGGACTAGATCCAGAAACGACGGCAACGAATGCTCTGGAAACGACAGCTCGGAGTCCAACAATGTCAATATATCGCGGAGTATCTCCTTTGCGGATCATACCAGGGCACTCTATATTCCTTCACCGTGGGAGCGTGACAGAGGTACTTTGTTATATGGTCCTTTGGCGGCCAGGCCGTGGCTTATTGGCAACAGGGGTGCCCATAGCAGAAGTCCCGACAGGCCCGAGCGGAGATGGTAAGCTCGACTGCAGATGATCTTGGAAACGAGCAGGCCTAACAAAGACGCAGGAATTGACGAGGAAGACATCGAGACAAACCACGCGGGCTCTGGTGATACCAATCAGCTATCCAGAAATATTTCAGGTACTACAGGTAGGCCATTTGAAAGGGTAGCTTCATCTTTGTTCGTGCTTGGAAGACATCCTAGCAGAGCTCGAGAGCCATCGCTCCGGCCGGCCATATCCCTCTCCAAGGATGCAAACCTCCCTGAGCTCTCTGCACAAGCGACTCTTGGAAGGAACTCGCAATTTTACAATTTGACTGTCGCAGATAGAGAGCGCCTGGGCGGCATTGAGTATCGGAGCCTGAAGCTGCTTTTGAAGATTGTAATCGGTATGAGCAAGCAATCTTTCTGATTTCTTTTAACTGGGACTGAAAGGACGCTCATCTATAACTAATAGGTTATCTTGCTGGTCTTCATCTCGTTGGCGTAGTGTGCCTTGTCGCTTGGATTCTGCATGCGGATCCCAAGTATCGGGACTATCTCAATGAATGCGGACAGGACAAGGTCTGGTGGTGAGCCTAGTTCAAGATCACCCTTGCGAACAATCTGACGATGCTGATATTGTTAGGGCAATTTACTCAGCACAAACGATGGTCAGCAATCTTGGATATACCCTCACTCCGGACTCCATGGTGTCGTTCAACGATGCCGTCTTCCCCATGTTGCTCATGAGCTTTCTCGCTTATGCTGGTAACACCCTATATCCTTGCTGTCTGCGCCTTGTCATCTGGATTATGTTCAAATGTGCTCCCGAGAACTCTTCTCTTAAGGAATCACTTGATTTTCTACTGAAGTATCCACGCCGGTGCTATCTACTTCTTTTCCGCAGTAGGCCAACATGGATCCTTTTCGCCATCATCTTCGTGCTTAATTTCGTCGATGTCATCTTGATCTTGGTTCTCGATCTCAGCAACCCTGCAGTGGATGAGCTATCTCCTGGTCCTCGAGTTGCGGCCGCCATTTTTCAATCCGCATCTTCACGGCATACGGGAACTGCATCATTCAATCTCGCGGACGTGAATCCAGCAGTTCAATTCAGCTTACTTGTCATGATGTATATTTCGGTGTTCCCGATCGCTATCAGCGTGCGAGCCTCCAACATATACGAGGAGAAGGCAGTTGGGGTATTCTCGCCAGACACCGAGATGGACGAAGGCAACGGGAAGAGATATGTCTTGACGCATATGCGAAACCAACTCAGCTTTGATTTGTGGTATATTTTCCTTGGGATAATGTGCATCTGCATTGCGGAATCGCAGAAAATCATGGACCCATCCAAGCCGGTTCGTGGCCCTCCATTGACCGTTAGAAACAGGCGTCTAACCTACGGGAACAGGCATTCTCCGTGTTCGCGATATTCTTCGAAGTGGTCTCTGCCTAGTGAGTATAACCACGCCATGACCACGGTGGGTAGACGTACCTAACGGATGCATAGTGGAAACGTCGGCCTAAGCCTAGGATACCCGACCGTCTCCACCTCGTTCAGCGGACAGTTCGGTATATTCAGCAAAATTGTCATCTGCGCCATGATGATTCGTGGAAGACACCGTGGGCTGCCATATCAGCTCGACCGAGCGATTTTACTTCCCAGTGACCGACTTGTCGAGGATGATAAGGTCGAAACCAGGCCTGATATCCCACTGCCACGCATCCGAAGCATGGACCCCATGGACAGCAGACAGCTGAAATTGAAGAGATATCATACGAGATAACACCAAGATTGTCTGATGGATTGGGCCACTCCTTCAGGCCTTCTTGCTTTGCTGGGGGGGAGGTAAACATTGGATGGCATGGTGTATGTACATGTTGTCCCGCGTCGGAAGAGATCTAGAATGTACAGATTCTGGAAGATCGCCGTTCGGTTTCTCTGTAGATATATCGAGCGCCACGTCAAGGGGTTGACCAGCAGGTGCCAATAACCCACAGGCCTCTTTCAACATTCGGATTATTGAATTTTTTTTTCCCGCGTGACCCTCAGGATCCAGCGTTTGCTTTTTTTAGCTTTTCCTTTGTTTTTGTTTTTTTGTTTTTTTAACTCCCCCGATAACCCCTCCAGGGGAGGAAGATAAGTAAAATAGTAGATACATAAATGGGCTGCTAGAGTTGCCCGGAGGCAGCCGGGGAAATACCGAAGGGGGCCACTATTGAGTGGAGCGGCGACATCATCGGGCCCGTGGCGTCATAGTCTCCAAGGGAACTTCATTCTCTAGATATCTAGGCCCTCTCACTGAACCCCCCTCCGGCGACCATAATAATCATTTTGATTCTATTCTAAGCGACACCTTGCCTAGCCGGAGAGTACAAATTGCTTTGGAGATCTCCAGGAGGGTTCATCCTTTTCTTGGTTCCCCAACTAATTGCATGCACACCGCCGGTTGCACACAAACACAAACCACAAAACACAAAACCACCCAAGCGACATCGGGTGTGACGTACCCCCAAACTGCACGGGAGGAAGCTGACTGCCGCTGGTGGCCAAATCCCATCTGGGCGAAACTCTCTTTGTCGTGTGCTGTGACATTGTCCCAGCAGTCATCCAGACCCAACCTTCCTTGTCCTACCAACCCCCAGCTTTAGCGAGATTGTCTTCCGGTGCGATCGCAATCCCTTCCCTGGGTGAGTCTCGAGTCCGAGAAGTGTACAGCGCCACGAACGGGCCTAGCGTCTTCAATAATTGGCGTCGCGGTGTCACCCCTTAAACCGTCGGCCCATCCACCCCTGCCCGCATCCCCATTTCGCTCTAGCCTTTCGTCTACTCGACCTGTCATCGAACGTCTTTTCTCCCATCCTACAACCCCTGACGATGAGCTCGTCAAGTGCCCAACACCAAAGGAACGGCTCTCTCGATCCCTTCTCCGATCCCGATGTCTACTATGGCAACGAGGACAATGTCGCGCGTATGAGAGAACGTAAGCGAGCATTCTCCTCGGTGAGTTGGCAACTATTAGTCCCCCCCCCTTCCCTCTGAGATAAGCACAGAATCAGCCTTGCTAACTCCCATCGATGCCATTAAACAGACGCTCAAATCATTCAATCGGGACGATATTCAAGAATTTCTCGGAGGCGGGTTTCCTGCGAGAAGAGCCAGTCATGGTGCGCGAACGATGCATTTTTTGAGCTACACCGGAGTACATTGGCTGATTCACGTGCTATACAGATGAGACACCGGCAATTCCCCGCAAATTTCTCATTGATGTTGACACAACGCTCCACAGTCTCCTGGAGCGGGAGGACACGGACAGAAACATGCAGATAACCATCGAAGATGTGGGCCCCAAGGTATGTGTGACCTGTAATCTCGGAACTGCAGCCTCTACCGATAACTGACAACACATGCCTTTAGGTGTTCTCCGTCGGAACCGCCGCGTCTTCGGGATACAACCGATTCGACTTGCGGGGAACGTATATGCTTTCGAACCTCCTTCAGGAGCTCACAATTGCCAAAGACTACGGTCGCAAGCATATTGTGCTTGATGAGGCCCGTCTCAGTGAGAACCCGGTCGCACGCCTTTCTCGGCTGATCAAGAATTCGTTCTGGAACGCCCTGACACGGCGGATTGACGGGCACAACATTGCCGAAGCTGGCCGGGACCCCAAGGATTGGACTGACGACCCGCGACCTCGGGTCTATATCCCTCCGGGTGCCCCGGAACAGTATGAGTATTATAAGGGGATCGCAGAGTCACATCCAGAGCTACGCCTCGATGTGCAGCTGTTGGACTCTGATATCACGCCAGAGTACACCAGGAGGCTTAACAACAAACCCGGTCTTTTAGCCCTGGCGATGGAGAAGCATTATGACGAAGCCACCCAGAAGACCGAGTATAATGGAGTTCCGTTTGTGGTTCCGGGCGGAAGATTCAACGAACTCTACGGATGGGATAGCTATATGATGTCCTTGGGCTTGCTGGTCAGCAATAGAGTTGATCTGGCCAAAGGCATGGTGGTCAATTTCTGCTTTTGCATAAAGCATTACGCAAAGATCTTGAACGCAAACCGTTCTTACTACCTGATGCGTTCCCAGCCACCGTTCTTGACTGATATGGCTTTGCGTGTCTACGAACGGATCAAGAATGAGCCTGATTCTATGGAATTTCTCCGCAACGCAACACTTGCTGCGATCAAGGAATACTACAGCATCTGGACGGCTGAGCCGCGATTCGATCCGGTTTCCGGTCTTTCGAGATACCGTCCGGAAGGCGAGGGGGTGCCCCCCGAGACAGAGCCGACGCATTTTCTTCACATTCTCACGCCTTATGCCGAGAAACACGGCATGTCTTTCGAAGAGTTTGTTGAGGCTTACAACGAAAGAAAGATCGTGGAGCCTGAACTCGATGAGTACTTCCTCCACGACAGGGCTGTGCGAGAATCTGGGCACGACACAAGCTACCGCCTTGAGAGGGTCTGTGCCAACCTGGCCACGGTGGATCTGAATTCGCTGTTGTACAAGTATGAGGTGGATATCGCACGGATTATCCGCACTTACTTCAAGGACAAGCTCGACATTCCGCCCGAGTTCCGGACGGTGTCGACCCAAGACATTGCCAGCGAGTCCTCGTCGGTCTGGGACCGTCGTGCTCGGAGAAGAAAGATGAGAATGGACACTTATCTCTGGGATGAAGAGAAGGGGATGTATTTTGATTACGATACCGCTAAGCAGGAGCGGACTACGTATGAGAGTGCCACCACCTATTGGGCGATGTGGGCTGGTCTTGCGACCCCCGGTCAAGCGTCGCAGATGGTGAAGGCACTTACCCGGTTTGAGGCCTACGGAGGTCTGGTTTCGGGAACCGAAGAATCTCGGGGTGCCGTTGGCCTGGACCGGCCCAACCGGCAATGGGATTACCCATACGGATGGGCACCCCAGCAGATGCTGGCGTGGACCGGCCTGATGCGCTACGGCTACCAGGACGAAGCCGAGCGGCTGACTTATAAGTGGTTGTATATGATTACAAAGGCCTTTGTGGACTTCAACGGCGTCGTCGTCGAGAAATACGACGTCACTCGCCCTATCGACCCACACCGAGTGGATGCCGAGTACGGCAACCAGGGTGTGGACTTCAAGGGCGCTCCACGCGAAGGGTGAGATCTTCATTTGGACCCAGTTTCATTCCAACGTCACACTAACCGGTTCATTTTCTAGGTTCGGATGGGTCAATGCCAGCTATGTGTACGGGCTGGAGATCCTCAATGCCCACCAACGCCGCGCCCTCGGCGCCATCACGCCGTATGAGACGTATAACAAGGCTGTGGCCGTACAGGATGCTTAAAATTGGAGATAGAAAGAAACACGAAGAGGGGATGCATGATCGCATTTAGCGCGGCAATCTGTTTTCGCCCGTCGTGGCATTCGGCTTTTGCAAAAATGGGTTCAGCGGGCACAGTTTCTATGGCTTAGATAGGGGGGTTAAACATACTGGCGGGCGGGTATAGAGTCTGCATTGCCTGCTGGAATTGAGGCGACTGATATGTTACATGTTTGCACAGAAAGAAGGGAGCTTGCAATTATTTCGTGGTGGACATGACCAGACTAGATGTGACGTGTCTTGCTGGAGGCGGCGTTGGTTGCTTTTTTGGGTACTCTTTTCGTTCATAGCCATAAAGCCCATAAATAATTAGGTAGTCATGATCAGTAGTTCATTCAGTCAGTCTTTGAGCTTTGTGAGGTATCGAGCAACCGTTCCCTGGGCTAATCGAGCTCCCCGAGACGTAGGCAGATCAAGAAGAGCCCGCAAGGCGCCTGAGTCACATTCCAGAACCTCAGAAAATAGGCACCACAAAGAAAGTCAGATGGAAAAACTACCTAAACTAACCCACGGTCGATTTACATGTGAACCCACCCACCTCTTGTCTCCCCCACAGAGTTTCTCCGTCCAGCCAGCCCCGAACTTAGGCAACACGAATGATATCTATACGCATGCATCACCACCCGCACCTCCGAGCATCCAGCCCATCGATCTACATTTTATCCCTGTCATAGAGGCTACAGTTCTCCGAAACTAACCACCATCAAATGTGACAGATTGACAGGGCGATGAAACCCCTTCGGTCAACGTCCGAAATCTCCAACCCCCCGTATCTTATCCTTGACACGCAGTTGTCGTGTTCGCAAGAAAACGGAATAAAGCTCCTTGATTTCCCGATGTCATTCTCGTTGCGTGTCTGGGAAGAAGACTGGACGGGAGCTGAGGTTGATCTGGTTTCGTGGATCGGCTGTTGAGAGCCCTGTGATTGGTGTAGCGGATGCCGAGGTTGCTGCTGTTTGGGGTATGGCTGTATTGATGCCTGGAGGTGCTGGCGCTACGGTACGGCTGAATGTGGGGTAGATACCAAGGGTCTGGGGTGAGGCCAATTACAGTCAGGGGTGGGAGGTTGTTCGGGTGGTTGTGTGGTCACGTATTGTCATTGGGGGGGTAGGCTCGGAGCCAGACACATGCATCAACGTCATGGCCGTTCACAGTTCGTGTTGATGGTCAGGTAGGATTATGGTGGTGGTTGTTGATGGGATTTCAGTCTGGAGAGATTCGAATGAAGATGGACTTCATTGACAAGATGAGGCATTTCTCCTGCGGGTTATCAAGAATGCAGCTGCAAAGCCATCGGCGGTGGATGGACTCATAAACCAGCCAAGGGAAAGTGGCGACGGGGGGGCGACTGCCTCAGGCCGTCGCGGGCTTGGGCTGGTCCCTTTAGACCGAGGATCGAGCCTGACGAAGATCCTCTCTTCCGAACCACCACCACTCAGCTTCCCCGTTGGCCCCGGCCTGGCTTGTGAACCTGGGACACGGTTAACCTAATCGTTGTGACTCTCTTACGGTTTTCAAGATGCCCGGGGCCCCTGCCCTTCCTTCTTGTCCCGCTGAACCGAACGTTTACCGACCACTGGCCAGTCAATGGCTCTGACGCATCCAGATGGCGCATGCCAGCTGCTGGTCCTTAAGTACCTGGGTCTTTGGCTTGTGATTCCGGCTTGAGAATTTGTGTCTTTCCTCGAGTGCCCTTTTCTACCCTGTCTTCTGACTCTATCTCCCCTCTACCTCTACTTTCTTTTCTTGTGACTTGCTGGGATTGATCCTGGGGATTCTTCCTTCTATATAATCATCTTTGGATACACTGTATTATATATATCCATTGCAATTCAGACTTTTGCTTATCTTCTCTTGATCTCGTGACCTCCTATTCATACTCTACACAATGGGTTACCTCGAAGACGAAGACCGGAAGTACGTCGACGACGTCCAGGCCGTCCAGGCGTGGTGGCAAGACTCCAGATGGAGACACACAAAGCGTCCATTCACTGCTGAGCAGATTGTGGCCAAGCGCGGAAACCTGAAGATCGACTATCCTTCCAATGTTCAGAGCAAGAAGCTGTGGAAGATCTTGGAGAGCAACTTTGAGGTTTGCACCGCCCATGCTACTTCTCTGAGCCGTGCCTGAACTCACGTATTTCTTTAACAGAAAAAAGTCGCCAGTTTCACCTATGGCTGTCTCGACCCAACAATGGTCACCCAGATGGCCAAATACTTAGATACCGTCTACGTCTCTGGTTGGCAGAGCTCCTCCACTGCCTCGTCCACCGACGAACCATCTCCAGATCTTGCTGATTACCCTATGGTAGGTCTCGGAATATGTGACTGATTGGGGGATTATTGCTAAGATCCATTTGCAGAATACCGTTCCCAACAAGGTCAACCATCTGTTCATGGCTCAGCTATTCCATGACCGGAAACAGCGCGAGGAACGCATCACTACTCCCAAGGAGCAGCGGGGCAAGGTGGCCAACGTCGACTACCTGCGGCCCATCATCGCGGACGCCGACACTGGACATGGTGGTTTGACCGCGGTGATGAAGCTGACCAAGCTGTTCGTTGAGCGCGGCGCTGCTGGTATCCACATTGAAGACCAGGCCCCGGGTACGAAGAAGTGTGGCCACATGGCTGGAAAGGTGCTCGTGCCCATTAGCGAGCACATCAACCGACTGGTGGCTATCCGTGCGCAGGCGGATATCATGGGTATGTAGCCTTCCGTGTTGGTCAGCCGTGTGTGCATCAACTGACGTATGCTCAGGAACCGACCTGCTTGCCATTGCTCGAACTGACTCCGAAGCGGCCACCCTCATCACTTCCACCATCGATTACCGCGACCATGCCTTCGTCGTTGGTTCAACGAACCCGAACATCCAGCCCCTTAACGATCTGATGGTGGCTGCTGAGCTGGCTGGCAAGAACGGATTCGAGCTGCAAGCCATTGAAGACCAATGGGTTACGCAGGCCGGCCTGAAGCTGTTCAGCGACGCTGTCATCGAGACCATCAACAAGGGCGCACACGCCAACAAAAAGGCCGTCATTGACGACTACCTGAAGAAAGCCAAGGAAAAGAGCAATCGCGAAGCCCGTGAACTCGCCAAGAGCATCACCGGGGTCGACATCTACTGGGACTGGGACGCCCCTCGCACCCGGGAGGGCTTCTACCGGTACAAGGGAGGCACGCAGTGCGCCGTTAACCGGGCTATCGCCTACGGGCCCTTCGCGGACCTGATCTGGATGGAGAGCAAGCTTCCCGACTATGCTCAGGCGAAGGAGTTTGCTGATGGCGTTCACGCCGTGTGGCCCGAACAGAAGTGAGTGTTGTCTTGATTTTGACTGGCGCAGCAACGGACACTAACATGGGTGCTTAGGCTGGCGTACAACCTGTCGCCATCGTTCAACTGGAAGAAGGCAATGTCGCGCGATGAGCAGGAGACCTACATCCAGCGACTGGGTGCCTTGGGATACTGCTGGCAGTTCATCACCCTGGCGGGTCTGCACACGACGGCGCTGATCTCAGATCAGTTTGCGAAGGCGTACGCGAAGCAAGGTATGCGGGCATACGGCGAATTGGTGCAGGAGCCCGAGATGGAGCAGGGGGTGGATGTGGTTACACACCAGAAATGGAGTGGTGCCAATTACGTGGATAATCTGCTAAAGATGGTGACGGGCGGCATCAGCAGCACGGCGGCCATGGGGACGGGAGTGACAGAGGATCAGTTCAAGCACTGAGCGGAGGTGGGGGGGTAGATCAGCATGTTGCTTTTGAATTCTTAGTGTTAGCTTTTTTTATACCACATTGTTTCGACTTAAACCTTCTCTGGTGCAGCGTTTGAGGTGTACTCTGGATAAGCTACAGAGAGCTATCCGAAAGGAGGACGGCTTGCGAGCAAGTGGGTCTGGCGCATGACTCGAAGTCCTCGCAAGCTGAGGATCCTGGGAATGGGGGCATGTGAACCCCCGGTCAGCCAGGATCCTGCTGCGAGCGAAGGCGATCCCTCAGCTGGAAGATGGGCTGGCCTGGAGATCTCCTCGGCGGTGCCGCGGTCCAGATGGGTTCGCGAAGGCAAAAGGAGGGGGAGGGGGAGGGGGAGGGGGAAAGTGGCATGTGGCAGACCGGCTCGGTGAATTCCTCCATTATTGGGCCGGCTGCGGTCGGGGGTTTATATTTGGGAGGGATACGGGGAGGATCTCGTTTCCATACTCCATTGACCTGATCCCGTTCATTTCCTTCTCGTATTCTCAAACTCCCGTTGAAGGCACTACACGGAGACTATCTACTAGACTCTACTAGACAACCTGATAAAGCCCCGTGCGTCAGCCGTCAGGGGTCGGTGAAGCTCCGCAATTCTTCATCGCTTCGGCTCAACGGCCGCCTCCTGCATCCTGCATCCTTTTAACCAACCTCTCCTCTCCACCTGCTAGTTTCTACACCTCAGCACCTTATTTCACCATGGGCGCCATTGACATCCCCCCCATCCAGTACACCCCCGTCGACGAGGTCGCCGACCGGGTGGCACGAGCCAGAAAGACCTTCCACGAGCACCAGACTCGCGATGTGGAGTACCGACTGGTTCAGCTCCGTAAGCTCTACTGGGCGTAAGTCCTCCCAAATTGCCACCTTTCGGAGGCTCCTCCCCGCCAGGCTTTAATCTCTGGCTAATCTACTTGGTGCAACAGCATCAAGGACCGCACCGAGGAGATCCACGAGGCCCTGCGACTGGATCTGAACCGGCCGGTCTTCGAGGCCGTCATGGCCGAGAGCACCTGGCTGCTCAACGACATTGTGTTTGTGTGTCGCAATCTGCACAAATGGGTCAAGGACGAGAAGGCCGACGACATTGACCTCACCTTTAAGTTTACGAGTCCCAAGATTCGCAAGGATCCGCTGGGATGTGTGCTGGTCATTGGGTATGTTTTTCATTTCCGTTGGGAACTCGCTCCTTTTGGTTGGGCGACAGAAAAGACTAACAGCGACCGCGATGCGGCCAGTGCTTTCAACTATCCTTTCCAGTTGACGCTGGGCCCCGTCATTGGCGCCATCGCCGCCGGCAACACTGTCGTTGTCAAGCCTAGTGAAAAGGCCTCCAACAGCGCAGTCGTCATTCAGCAAATCATCGAGGCCGCCCTCGACCCCTCTGCCTACACCGTCGTCCAGGGAGCTATCCCCGAGACTCAGGCTCTGCTTGCCGAACGGTGGGACAAGATCTTCTTCACTGGTAGTGCTAACGTCGGTCGCATTGTCGCCAAGGCAGCCGCTCCCTATCTCACCCCCATTGTCCTGGAGCTGGGTGGCATTAACCCGGCTATCATCTCCAAGAATGCCGACGCGAGACTGGTTGCGCGCCGATTGTTCTGGCCCAAGCTGATGAACGCTGGCCAGCTCTGCACGTCGCAGAACTACCTGTTGGTCGAGAGACCTCTTGTTGATGCGGTTGTTGAGGAGTTCAAGAAGACTTACAAGGAGTTCTACCCCAAGGGAGCTAAAGATTCCTCGGATTTCTCTCACATCATCGACGATGCGTCCTTCCAGCGCATCAAGGCCATGATTGACAACACCAAGGGTAAGATCGTCATGGGAGGCAGCATGGATGAAAAGGAACGCTTCATCGAACCCACCGTCGTCGTGGTGGACTCTCCCGAAGACTCCATGATCACCCAGGAGAGCTTCGGTCCTCTTATCCCTATCCTTCCCGTTGACAGTATCGACCAAGCGGTTCAGATTGCCAACGGCGTCCAATCCACGCCTCTGGGTCTCTACCCGTTCGGCTCCAAGACCGAAGTTGAGAAGAGTATGTCTGCCCACGCCAATTGCAGCTATAGAGACTGACATGGTAACCCTACAGTCCTGTCGATGACCCGCTCCGGAGGTGTTGCCGTCAACGACGCCGCCCTGCACATCCCCACCCTCCAATTTGGCGGTGTTGGCGAGAGTGGTCAGGGTGCCTACCGAGGCAAGGCCAGTTTCGACGTCTTCGTGCACCGTCGTACCATCACGACCAGCCCCAGCTGGATCGAATCCTTCCTCGCTATTCGCTACCCGCCTTATGACGGCAAGGATGACCTGTTCAAGAAGGTCAGCACTCTGGTCCCCGACTTTGACCGCGACTGCAAGAAGGTCCGCCTCAGCTGGCTCCGGTACATCCTGACTTTGGGCGGCGGCACCGCCAAATCCGGTGCTGCGCGTGCCACGGTTGTTGCTGCTGGTAAGTGATTTCTCTTTACCATGGCTATACGTTTGAAATCTCTCCCACCCCTACCACTGCTCCACTCAACACGCGCTATCCCTTTCAAGATGCTTGATATGCTAGACTTCTTACCGTCCGCATCGACCATCAGACCGAGAGTGAAATCTAGCACGCACACCGTCCGCTTCATTACCATAGATGCAATACCCTGCGATACCACCCATACATCATGCATTCTCCTCTAATACTAATTCATCCCTTGTCTCTGTTATTTCCTTTGTCAAATATTTACAACTAATAAACACGACCATCATATACTTACATTTTTCATCTTCATCACCAGTTGCTTACTTCGCCCTCCAAATGCTCGAGCGCCGGTCCGCCAAACTCTAAACTCTCACAGGGTGCATGTTCTGTTCTGTTCTCTTCTGTTCTGATTGATTGAACTTATGGGACTTGGAGTAGCTATCCATCCTCATGATTGTATCATCGTGTACAGTTTTTCTTTGCTTTCAGCGTTGGCTAGGTTGGTTGGAATCCACAAATTGTGAGGTGGGGAGGGTGATTGATTTGATTGGACTTCATGTATGTATGTATGTTTGTATGTATGATTTTGGGGAGGGGGGATACTTTAGGTATGTACATATGTGAAATGTATTCTGAAGTTGCATTATCATTATGGAAGTATAACAAGTTCCTTGAGGCTGTATTTGGAATGGAATATGAGATGTAGATAAACTGTAGGTCACGTAGTACTTCGTTTTAGCTTTCGACCCTTTTTTATCTTCCCTTTTTCAGTTAGTAGGTTTTCTTTTCTATTCCTATAACTATGTTATATGTTTTATTTCCATAATCCCAACTCCAAAACACAATGCCTCCAAGTAGCCCATCCCATGGCAGCATGATTGTCGACTAAACCATGTCATCGCGCCTCCCGGGATTCCGCTCCACTGCCGCCGCGGAGGTGTGTGACACCACTACCTCGGTCGTAAGAATGATCCCCCGGGACTCTTGACGAGACAGTATATGTTCTTCGCTGGAATTGCTACTGTCACCGTAGGGACTTTTGGTGGTGGATTTCGTCGTGGCAAGGTGTCCGGGGCTCATCCGGGAACCCTCGCGGTCACCGCCAGGGTCCAACCCGCTGAGAGTTCCATTGCGAAGAGACTTCTGCTGGCCCTGGTGGGATCGCGATAACGAGTGCAGACGATACTGTTTGCTGCCGTATGTATATGGGCGCGTCTTCGTCTGGGACCCATAGCTACCCAGGACTTGCTTGAAGAGAGGCTTCAGGGTGGGCAGGCTGCCCGCGATAATGCCCATGTTAGACTCGACACTGGCATGAGACGCTGCGTTAGCACAAGTAACGACATCTAAATGAGACCACACACTCAAGCAACTTACACAACCCAGATCGTGAGGGTTGAATAATCCCACAAAAGATCCCCCGTGCGGCCGTAATTGGGCAGGACCGAAAGCTTCACTATCGCCGCGGCGCAGGCACTAAAGAGCAATGACTTGGGTTAGACTGTTTCCCGGCAGGTAATCCTTTGACAACAAAACTATAATGAAATATGCTCACAAAATTCCCAGTCCCAAGATGCAAATTAACGAGGCTTTGACACGCCGATTGACTTGCAGATGCCTGGAGCCGGGTCATTAGTCAAGGTATTGCCTGTGAAGGCAACAGGGAGTTGGCGTACCGCAGCATAATTGCTGGTAGGACGGCGAAAATGAGGTCGGTCAAGATATTGAGTCCTGGAAGGTATCAGCCTACAGCGCCTTCACTCTGAAGCAACCAAGATTCCGTCCATACCCGTATTTGTGTAGCTCAGCTTTAAGAGCTGTGTGGTCGTGAAACACTTTGACTTGACATTCTCATCCCAGATGGAGCGCATATCCTTGCACTCAAAAACGAGGGTCTGTCAAGAGAAATTAGATGTTTAATTGCGCAGAGGGGGGGAAATGGTTAGGACGGACCAAAAAAAATATTATAGTGTAGAGGGCCATGACGACTACCAAGTAGAACAATCAGCTTCTTGAAAATGGGCACCAGAAATATCGCAAAGATAGTGGAAAACATTTCCATCAGGATGATTCCATAGTCTTCTTCCTATGTCCCGAAAGTCCGCTTCACAATGTGATCTCTCGACGTAGCACGTAGTTGCTAGGTGACATACCCATAACAACCCAAATAAAGATCTTGTAACTCCGGCGTGGGGCAAAACGCAAGAGAAACAATCCAATTGAGATCTTGACGAGGCCTATCACCCACATATAGATAGCCTGGGTGGCAAAATTCAGATGCATCGCTATCGTGACCGTATTTTTGACATAGACCGTATGTCTTCCTGCGCCGTAGAGGACCTCTGGTATAACCACGGCCCACCCGGAGAGGGACTATACGACCACAAAGTCAGTTCTTTTATACAGCAACTGGAGATTTGATAATTGCGCTCCCGGGGGCTTTTACAAGTGCCATGGTCAGTACCATGATATAGTCCTAGACGCGGGTTAGAACCATGTTTTCCAACTAGCAATGTTTCTTTTGATACCTACATCGAGGCCTGCATTCCGGATGACGAAGACGCGGACATATACGCGGGCTAGTACCACGAAGAGTGCGACGATTGTGGTAATTGATGTGGCCGCCAGGATCTGGGGACCCTGACTCACATCAGGCAGGCCCGCGCCTCCCAGATGGGAACTTGCTGCCATAGCCACAGTCGACTCGGAAGGGTATGCTTGTCATTGCACAATCATTGAGTATTCATGGGAGATGGAGGAGGCAGCAGACGATATAGCATCGCGTCGAATTGGACCCGCAATATCAAAGCTTGGTAGTGGCTTTCACATGAGCTGCTGGCTCAGCATGCCGCCTGTAAGCTATGAAAACTTTAATTGCAGACGCTTCGCAAGAAATCGCTGAAGCTAGGATACTTCAGGTCATCGAAGTGGTACAGCCTTTTGCTGCAATAGAAGGAGCACCCGGAGCAGCTCCGAAGCTAAAAGTTGATTATCCATCGACTTCGTCTCCCAAAAGGCAATGGCTCCTTGTTCTGCTCGGTTCTTCCACCTTCGTCCTCTCTAGTGCTGATGTAGATAATCTCGCTTAGACCAAGCCAGGAGGCTCCAGTCGGATAGTTCGGTCCAGAAGGCCGCGGTTGTGCAGGGGTTCTCATTGTCCGAGGCCAATGGATTCGATTTCCAGGCGTCAGATACGGCTGGAGAGAGGAACGTGGCCAATGAGACAATTCTACCACTGAGTTTTGGAGCTTTAGGTAGAACTTCGGAACAACCCTACAGTTTTTAGGAGGTGGATCAAAGGAATCGTACCATCCGCGCATCCACTATCCAGATTAATAAAAACCGCGGCGACGCTAAACACAGACCGAGCCCAAGATCCCTGTAATTCGTACGTATATTGTTGAAAGCGCGGTTATCTCCGATGGCACAGCACTTTAGCGTGGAACTAGAGATAGGGTTCATCTAGATGTAATCAATTTCTCCCGCCTGGTCAAGCACCAAGACAAGACGGTCGTTCCATTAGGGGGCCCACGATTAAGTGCTGACCACAGAAGAGGCTGGGTAGTCAGGTAAAGAAAACAGACAGGAAATTAATCTCGTGTCCATCTGGTTCTAGGACACATCAACGAGGTTGAACCAGGGATGCCATTATTTATGAAGGCGGGCAGTAGACACTTGGACCACAAACGATCGCCAAGCGGGCCAGCATCACCGAGAGGCCATGATTCCACTTTTTCAGGCCGGTCAGTGTCAGTGTCGTTGGGGGGGATGGGGGGAAGTGGAAAGGCTGCGAGCTGACAATGTGGAGCGACTAAAGGAACAGACCTGCTTCGGGTCAGGGATTCCTTCGGGCCGGCCTTGCTTAGCGGGGTTCCGGTACCCGTAATTACCAGGTACGGCACGGCCATCAGGGTCCTTCCCAGTCCGGACCTTCCATCTCGTCCGGTTTGCCCTTCCCTCTTCGGCCATACGAACAAGTTAACAACAAACAATCAACATCCTAGACCTGACTAAGCTATACGATGCCCTCGCTAAGAATCCTTTACGAATTCATGGTGAATCATGGCCTCCTGGAAAAAAAGCCGGATCAGAGTCTGGAAGTGCCGGGTGGAGTAGCCAAGTCTCAGACAGACAGCGCATCGACCCAGTCCTTGGACTTTGGGGATGGCCGTTATCTCCATTTGGCATCCAGGCCATTAGGGCTTTGCTCTGTTTCTTGCCGGTCATCCGATCCCCGCCAGCGCCGTTGATAGCGACATACAATTATACATGTCTACCTACATGCAGGCTAACGGGGTCAAGCACTTAAATTGACGGCCATTCCCCCGCCTCGCCATGGTTTCTGTGCGCAGGCTTCTTCCCGTTCTGTCTCTGCCCTCTCATCTCCCAATCTTTCCAGGAGCTCAACGCCATGGTTGCCCTCAAGGCCCTCAGCTTGGGCCTTCTTGCTTCGCAAGCCTGGGCTGTGCCCACTGCCTCTCACAAGGCCACCTCGACAAGTGCTTCCCCCGCTGCATCCAGCTCCGCTGTAGCTGCCGCAGCCTCCACAATAGAGCAATTGGCCCGCCACGCCTACAAAGTGACGACCGACAATCTCCCCAGCCGCTCGGAAGACAGCCGGGCCTGCACCCTGGAAACCTTGCGCATCCGCCGTGACTGGAGGGATTTCTCCAGGCCGGAAAAGAAGGCCTATATCAAGTCCGTCCTTTGTCTGCAGGATCTGCCCGCTCGCACACCCTCGCATCTTGCAGCAGGTGCCAAGACTCGATATGATGACTTCCTGGCCACCCATATCAACCAGACCTTGGAGATTCACTACACGGTACGTCCATACACCCTGCAAACCTTGCCCAGTCCAGCCTGCAGAGACACTGACATGGCAATGAACACAGGGAACTTTCCTTGCATGGCACCGGTTCTTCACCTTCGAGTTTGAACAGGCTCTTCGGGACGAGTGCGGATACCGGGGCGACTTCCCGTGAGTTTCACCCCAATCTGGAACCCCCTTGACCCTCTAATCGATCGGAACTAACCCATCCACTCCAGCTACTGGAACTGGGGTGCCGACGCAGACGACATGGAGCACTCGGAGGTGTTCGATGGCAGCGACACCTCGATGTCGGGCAACGGGGCCTACATTCCCAACCAGAGCGACATCCACCTGTACCTGGGCGACTACCCGGCGATTGTGCTTCCCCCGGGCAGCGGCGGCGGCTGTGTGACCAGCGGGCCCTTCCAGAACTACACCGTCAACATGGGCCCCGCGGCTCTGTCTCTGCCCGGCGGCAACACCTCCTCGGTGGCCAACCCGCTGGACTACAACCCGCGCTGCCTCAAGCGCAGCCTGACCACCGCCATCTTGCAGCGCTACAACACCTACATAAAGATCGCCTCGCTACTCGTCGACAACAACGACATCTGGGATTTTGAAATGACCATGCAGGGTATCCCCGGCAGCGGCTCCATCGGCGTCCACGGCGCTGGCCACTACTCCATGGGCGGCGACCCCGGCCGTGACGTCTACGTGAGTCCCGGCGACCCCTCGTTCTGGCACCACCACGGCATGATCGACCGCGTCTGGTGGATCTGGCAGAACATGGACCTGGCGTCGCGTCAGACTGCTATCTCGGGAACAGGCACCTTCTTGAACGAGCCTGCCTCGGCCAACACCACCCTTGAGACTGTCATCAACATTGGGTACGCCAATGACAGGCCCCGCGCCATGAAGGAGCTCATGAGTACCACGGCCGGACTGTTCTGCTACGCATATCTCTAGATATACACTATAATAGTATATAGCCCTGGTAGACCAGACATCTCATGGAGTAATAATGTACTATAGATCCTTGAGAAAGAACATGATAGAACATCTGCCTATGATATAGTGCTCTAAACCGCTTTTGACCACCATCAAGATCAATAAAACCCAGATAGTGCTGTTTACCAGGTACAGTCGAGTGCTTCCAATACACTGATACTAGCCATCCATATCCAAATCTTAGATTCAATTGTAGTTAGATATATAACCAGAGAAGTATTCTTTCTTATCTTAGTTAGCATCGCCGTTCCACGCCCTTCCGACTCACACAGATATACTTCACCCCCTTGTAGGGCTTCACGCCCTCGCCTAGTCCACGACTCCGGCGCGGGTCAATGTTCAGACTTTCGACCTTGATGCCGGAAGGGAGCCAGCCTCGGACGGAGAACGAGACGGACGCGGAGTTGGGCATGAGGGTGGCGTTGAGTTGGGTCTTGGTTTTGCGAGGGGCCGAAAGGAAGATGGAGGATTCGGGGGGCGTGCGGGCGGGGGATTGTTTCTGTGATTGAGGCTGGGGCTGGGACTGGGACTGGGGGATAGATGATTCGGGTTGTGGAGAGGACAGGTCAACGGGAGGTGTTGGGGTGTGTGGTTCGGATGCGTCAAGAAGTTCTGGGTCTTCGGAAGGCAGGGCGAGGGGATCGGCGGGTGACGAGGCTGAAGCTGAAGCCTCTGCTGTCGCTGCTGCTGCTGCTGCACGGGAGGATGGTTTCTTGACGACCTTCTTCTTCTTCTTTTTCTTGATCTTGCGTTTCGTGGTGTCTGCTTCGGCGTTCTGGTAAGATGCACTGGCGTCATAGTAGCCTTGAAGGAGGTTGGCGTCTGCGTCGATTTCTTCCACGTCGTCATCCAGGTCATCGTCAGCATAGTGTCCCACAACGGTGCACCGGAGAGTCGCTGTCCCGGAAATTGTGCCGGCGTCTTTGGTCGGCACTCGCCATTCTAATGTGGCGCTGCCGGGCGAGAATAGGGCCTCTCCACGGCTTGCTTGCATGTCTGTGATGTTCCGAACCGTTTTGGGGATTGGGACGGTCACGACAACCTCTTCCAGTGCCGGCATTGACGAGTTCCCGCTTCCTCCGCCGAGAAAAGAGGGCGTCGACGTGCCTGATCCGCTTCTCCCGACTCCGGGTCGGTTGAAAGACGAATAGCCCGGGAAATTTGTGTTGAGAATGAGGCGGACCTCGAAGTCTGAGCCGGTTGGCCCAAGCGACCTGCGAACATCCACGAATGCAGGCAAGAAGAGCTTTTCCATATGACTCGGGGGCTGGTCAAGTCCGGGATCCATTGGCAATAGGTCCACCTCGTACCCGGCAAGGATGAACCGTCCATCTGGTGGTACAAAGCTGAGCTCTCCTGGGCGTTCCCGCCACCGCGCCAGTCTTACACATGGGTGAAATACTGGCAGCTCAAACTTTCGTCCCAGGACTTTTTGGCCTCCGGGCGCTGTCAAGGAAAGAAGCAGATCGGGTACTCCGGATATTTTGGCCGTAAAGGCGATCGTGCCGGAGGATATCGCAGAGATCAGCCGTCCCGATGGCGCTATCGTGACTGAAAGCGACTCTATGATATCAACGTATAGCTCGTTTGAGGTATGTCTCACTCCAGACTTTCTCCAGGGAATCGCAGGGCCTTGGGCGGCGGCGGCGGCCATCGATTGCTTCAAGGCATTGGGCTGTCCCAAGATCGGTGTCGATGATCTGCGTATTTGGCATTTTCAGTTAGTCCATGGTTAAGAAATAGAATGATTATACCCAAAAAAAGAAACAGCACCATTCTGCAACGGTCACTACGCACCCAGGCAATCCAACTCCACCTAACAGCTTCCCCATCCATCCCGGCATCTCCACCACCTCCTGCAGCGCATTGGGCTCGGTATTGCATACGATACCCGCATCGCACATTTCATGGAGCAGCTGCGCGACCACCTCATAGTTCGCCTGCAGCTTCGACGAAAGCAAGGGGGCTCCAACGAAGTCCTCGAGAACATCAACGACCCGATGCAAGAATTCCAGCACAAGCAGCGGTTCGGTATCGACCTCGGATAGCGCCAGGAACAATAAATTGGACTGGACTACTGAGAACACCGTCACCGGCGGCGTAGTACCCGGGATGTAGAGAAGCGAAGGGCGCGGAGCTGCATGGGCGAGATAGAGGGGGAGAATGGCCGGTGCGGAGGGAGGACGGGAGCGATAGACCTGTTCGACGATCGGATTGCTGGATGAACAGGACAGGTCAGTGACTGTTGCGTAACCAGAAGATTGGAAAGGACGGCATGCCTCTGCTCATCAAAGATGTAGAGCGCATCGATCTGGCCGCTCATGATGGCGATGGCGACCTATCCCGACCGGTGGGGGCGTAACGTAGTAGGAAGAGGTGGTCATGGTGCAGCATGATGGTTAGTGATCGATCGGCCCCCGTTTTAGTGGAGTCCAAAACCCCCCCGTTCTGCCGCCGATCCCCGCCTTCCCATGCATTTCCTTTGGGATGCGGCCCGTAGAGCTTGATCGAGCCTCGTCCGGACTGTCGCTAAACTCTTTCTCCGGCTTTCCTATCAGCTGATACCACATGGCCCCGCCCACCGAGAATACCGGCGCCTGGGATGTTCAGCCCAAGGACGCGAAGCGTGCGCTTGCAGAAGATGCCTATGATGACTGCCTTTCTTGCAGGGTGACCGGTGAGCTGTCCAGCGCACTCTCTTTGAGCGTCCCACCATGTGTCTTTCAGCAAAGTCTAAACGTTCATAGGATCCGCTGCATTCATCGGTCTCGGTGTGTACAGCTACTACTCTGGCATGAAGAACCTGAAGATGCAAGAAAAGACAATCATGCAAAGCGCAACCAAGTACAAGATGGCATCTCGGCAACTAGGAATCGCAACCATCTCGGCGACCCTGGTTGGCATGGGGCTTTGGAGGGCCTTCAACTGATATCCTCAGAACAACTTGTATATCATGTACTCTACTCATGGCGTTGGGTTTGTTTCGATGAAGGGAATGCACGTCAAGTCAAGCGCTACACTGTTCGTAATAGACAATATACAAGGCAGTAGATAGAAAGGATCGTACGATTAATATAACACTAGCCGCCTCACCGGGTATCACCGTGTCTGATAACCTCTATAAATTTAATAGATATGATGACCAAGGAAATGGGATAGGGAAAGGAGAATAAAACAAGAGGAAAGGAAGGAGGATATGAGTCACAAGTATAAGGTAAAGATGACAGGAGAGGAAAAACAACCCGTGGCCCGGAGTGCCACATGCAATACTCCCCCTAATGCACCGAAAGTAGAAGAGAGAGAAAACACAAGAAAGCAATCGACCGCTGCGTGACCGTAAGAATATGCTCGTCTAATCGTCGATACCACATCTTCTAGGTAAAGCGGCCACGTTTGCCGCCCCCGAACATGTCTCGATTGCCTAGCCCGGATAGGTCGAAGAAGTCTGGAACGGCAAGCTTTCGTTTCGAGCCAAGCCCGACGGATGATTCGCGAGGGGACGACCGAGGGTTCGGTCGTGAAAAGTTGTTGTGACGGTTTTGTTGCCGAGAGTTTCGAGATAAAACGGAGACGCTGACTGGGGCACCATCCTGAGACGCAGGAGTCGAGCTGTCCGATGTTTGCATGTCTATTTCTTGTTCTGGAAGTTGTGGGAAGGTTGGTCCAGCAGAGAAAGTAAAGATTGTGGGCCGATCGAAATCGTTGGTTTCGGAGGCATGGGACGAAGAAGGTGCTGGAGGCTGTTGCTGCGGTGGTGCTGCACTTTGCTCCTCCGCCACAGGTGATGCCGACTTGGATGGCTGCCGGATAGGTTCGGATTCCGGCTGTGCCTTCCGGGCTACAGCTGGTATCGCGCCTCTTGTTTGTTTCTCAACCTCATCGTCGTCGCTGGGGGCCCCAATACCATCACTCCGTTCTGTGGCCCATTGTCGAACCTTCCAGCCCTCTCCATCCCCAAGACCGAGGTTCTCTCGGTCTAGAAAGTGCAGTAGATCTTCAATTGCTTCTTGGTAGCCGGCTTGTTTGGCATGCGCTTGTTCGTAAACAGCATTCTTATAGAGGTTGGTGACGGACAAAGCGGCGGCCTTGAACGACTGCAGAAGTTGCTCAGGAGGCTGTGCTCGAGGTGTTGAGCTAGGCAGTGATGTGTTCAGAGATCTCATAGAGTCCATGGTGTGCTGGGTGGCGGCTGCTGGGGCAGCCTTTTGTGAAGGTGGAAGACAACAAATAACGTTGCCGTCACTAGGAGGGGTGACTTGAACCGTGCTTTGTGAACAGGGGTCAGGCAAGCCCCGAGGCAACCGAAAAGCAGTCGGATCACGAAAAGTAAGCCGATGAGGAAGAAAGAAAGAAACAGGCCCAAAGAGGGGCGATATAGAGGGAAAGAGGCAAGCTCCGGCAGCAAACAAAAGGACGTGGACTGGTGATGACCGATCGGAAAGGACGCTGGTGCAGCTGATCTTTCTTTGCGTCTGTCCCGGTAACGTGACCCACAGCGGGGAAACTGGTCTTCCGCCCCCTGCTGACTCATGACTGAGTCAGTAACGCCTCGCGTCTCCCGCCCAATCAGCGCGTGGCCTGGCCGCGCTTCTCCGATGAAATTCCATTTGCCATCCCATGAGCGCGACTGGCGGTGCTTCTTCGTTCTTTCATCATCCGTCATTGATTGTTCCCTCGTCACCTCCTTTACGCTTCTCCGGGCACATTCTTTCCCAACCGACCCTCTACAACCGGCCTCTCTACAGCTAGTGGGTCTAGATATTTCCATCGGTCTCATTGATAGCTCCGACCCTTGTTTGTCCTTATATCAAGTCGTGTCCCGCCTTGTATAGCGCCCAACACGTGCGCTAGGTGCGCTGTGGATGGTGATGGCTCCTTCGCTCGCCCCAACTCCCGGTTCGCCTTCACAGGCAGATACCCCAATGACAGATGCGAACCTTGAGCCCGTCACGTCAGTGCCGGTGGATAGCGCAGACGCGCCGATGACGGTGAGTTGGCGCAATTTCCTCTCTTTTGCGCAATGTATCATCGTCAAGCGCGTTCTCTTCGACGATGGAAGGCGCTCCTGCTGATAACCCGTCGGATATAGGGATATCAGGACACCCCAGACTACACGGTAAAAGCGTTCCCGTTGATTGCTGTTCGTCCGACCTACGACCCGGCTAACCCGACTTAGGATTCGGATACGAACCCCAATACCACGGCTAGCAGTGTTGCAGGCGACGCAGTGCCTTTGGATGGCCGGAGGCGGAGGTCTGAAGCCTTTCACATGAGGAAAAGTATTCTGGGCAAGAAGCACGGTCGTTTGGACGAATCTAAGGTACGCCAGCGCAATGGTCGTGTGTGTCTAGTCGCTTACGGTTGATGCTGTTGTAGGAAGATGACTCTATCCGACGATTTCGCTATCTTCTCGGTCTGACAGACTTGTTCCGTCATTTCATCGAAACAAACCCCAACCCGCGGATTAAGGAGATCATGGCCGAGATTGACCGGCAAAACGCCGAGGAGGAGGCAAAGGCTAAGAAGGGTACTGCGCGCTCGGGCGGTGCAGGCGGTGACAGACGTCGCAGGACAGAGCAGGAGGAAGATGCCGAACTGTTGAAGGACGAAAGAAGTGGCGGCGAAACCGGCACAGTCTTCCGGGACTCCCCACCGTTCGTCAAGGGCGAGATGCGTGATTACCAGATTGCAGGACTGAACTGGCTTGTCTCGCTGCATGAAAACGGTATCTCGGGTATTCTGGCCGACGAGATGGGTCTGGGCAAGACTTTGCAGACCATCTCCTTCCTTGGCTACCTCCGACATGTCTGCGATATTACTGGCCCACATCTCATCGCCGTTCCGAAGTCCACGCTTGATAACTGGAAGCGGGAGTTTGGAAAGTGGACACCCGAAGTCAATGTGCTTGTCCTCCAGGGTGACAAGGAGCAGCGGCACAAGTTAATCAATGAACGGCTCCTTGATGAGAATTTCGACGTTTGTATCACCAGTTATGAGATGGTTCTCCGGGAAAAGTCCCACCTGAAGAAGTTCGCATGGGAGTACATCATCATCGACGAAGCCCATCGGATCAAGAACGAGGAGTCTTCTCTTGCGCAGATTATCCGAGTTTTCCATTCCCGGAATCGACTACTGATCACCGGAACCCCGCTTCAGAATAATCTGCACGAGCTTTGGGCCCTTCTCAACTTTTTGTTGCCGGACGTATTCGGTGATTCGGAGGCATTTGACCAGTGGTTTTCCGGCCAAGACGCCGACCAGGACACTGTTGTACAACAGCTCCATCGCGTCTTGCGGCCTTTCTTGCTTCGTCGTGTCAAGAGCGACGTCGAAAAGAGCCTGCTCCCTAAGAAAGAGGTCAATCTATACGTGCCCATGTCGGAAATGCAGATCAAATGGTATCAGAAGATCCTCGAGAAGGATATCGATGCCGTTAACGGTGCCGCCGGCAAGCGGGAGTCGAAAACCCGTCTGCTGAACATTGTCATGCAGCTTCGCAAGTGTTGCAACCACCCTTATCTTTTTGAAGGGGCTGAACCTGGCCCTCCGTACACGACTGATGAGCACCTGGTCTATAATGCCGGCAAGATGGTCATTCTTGATAAGCTGCTATCGCGTATGCAGAAGCAGGGAAGTCGCGTACTCATCTTTTCTCAAATGAGTCGTGTCCTTGATATTTTGGAAGACTACTGCGTTTTCCGTGAGTACAATTACTGCCGTATTGATGGTACAACAGCCCATGAGGACCGTATCGCTGCGATCGACGATTACAACAAGCCAGGCTCGGAGAAGTTCGTCTTCCTCCTTACAACAAGAGCGGGAGGGTTGGGTATCAATCTGACAACTGCGGATATTGTTGTGCTCTACGATAGCGACTGGAACCCTCAGGCGGATCTGCAGGCTATGGACCGTGCTCATCGTATCGGCCAGACAAAGCAGGTTGTGGTATTCAGATTCGTCACGGAGGATGCGATCGAAGAAAAAGTATTAGAACGTGCTGCGCAGAAGCTCCGATTAGACCAGCTTGTCATCCAGCAGGGACGTGCCCAGCAACAGACCAAGAATGCCGCGTCCAAGGAGGAGTTACTCGGCATGATCCAGCACGGAGCTGCCAATGTCTTCAACACGAAGGGCAATGGTGGCAGCTTGTCCACAGAACACCAGATAACCGATGATGACATCGACAGCATTTTGCGCAAGGGTGAGGAACGGACTGCGGAACTAAACAAAAAGTACGAGAAACTTGGTATCGATGACTTGCAGAAATTCAGTTCTGAAAGCGCCTACGAATGGAACGGCAAAGATTTTACAGATCGCAAGAAGGACATCGGTATCAACTGGATCAACCCAGCGAAGCGAGAGCGAAAGGAACAGTTCTACTCGATCGACAAGTACTATCGCCAAGCTTTGGCTACTGGTGGTAGGACGGCCGATCCCAAACCAAAGGTTCCTCGGGCACCAAAGCAGATTGCTGTTCATGATTGGCAGTTCTTCCCACCTGGGCTCCAAGAGCTGCAGGAGAAGGAGACAGCCTACTTTCACAAAGAAATCGGATACAAAGTTCCGCTTCCTGACGGCCCTGAGGAAGAGTTGAGCGAGCGCGAGGCTGAGCGTGATCTGGAGCAACAAGAGATTGACAATGCGGTGCCGCTAACAGAAGAGGAACAGGCGGAGAAAGCGAGGATGTCTGAGGAGGGCTTTTCCACCTGGAACCGTCGGGATTTCCAGCAGTTCGTGAACGGTTCGGCCAAATTTGGCCGTACTGACTACGATGGCATCGCCACCGAAGTGGATAGTAAAGAACCGGATGAGATTGAGGAGTACGCGCAGGTGTTCTGGGAGCGCTACACGGAAATCCAAGATTATCCCAAGTACCTTCGTGTCATTGAGCAGGGTGAGGAGAAGGTACGGAAGATGAACCACCAACGCAAAATGCTTCGCAAGAAGATGGAGATGTACCGCGTTCCCCTCCAGCAGGTCAAGATCAACTACACTGTGTCTACCACCAACAAGAAAGTATACACGGAAGAGGAAGACCGGTTTTTGTTGGTGATGTTGGACAAGTATGGAGTTGATGGCGAAGGTCTCTACGAGAAGATTCGCGACGAGATTCGCGACTCCCCTCTGTTCCGCTTTGACTGGTTTTTCCTCAGTCGTACCCCAGTCGAGATCGGGCGTCGCTGCACCACCCTATTGAACACCGTTGCCAAGGAATTCGAAGCCGATGATGGAAAAACCAACGGGGAGAGCGGTAAAGGCCGAGGACGTGACCGCGACGATGATGAGGCGGAGGATGATGATGGCCCTCCAGCCAAGAAAAAGACAAAGGGCGGTGCAGTTGTAAGTCATCTTGTCAACTCTTTCGGTTGAAATCACTGTCGCTAACCAACTCACAGAACAAGCAGGTCAAAGCTGTCAAGGGAGGGAGCAAAGCAACTTCCACCTCGACGTCGCGCGCAGCCAGCGTCTCCTCTAACGCGGCCCCCAAATCCAGGAGTCGGAAGAAATGATATCTCGTATCTTCGGAGGTGGTCTAGGTGGGCGACGACTGGGATTGTTATGACTGTTCTGTAGACTGTTTGGGAAGCATTTTTGACAGAGGAAGGGGTTTATTGGTTCTTTTTGTTCCATATATGTCGGTCCGGCGTTGGCAGATAGATGCCATTGTAGTTTATGATTCATCTTCATTTATCTCCTTGACTCACATCTGTAAAATGACACTAAGCGGTCAAAACATTATATTGCTGTTATCTCGAAATCCGTGAGAGGCTGTTTTAGGCTCATGTATACTCCTTTATTTAGACCACCACGGCCTAAAGCCCCTGCCACCGAGATTCAAAGGGATACTTGAAGGGGGCGTGAGGGAATTACAATGAAGCTTATGGATGAAGACGCCAAACCCCTTCCATGAGCCAATCATACTCGTCTTATCGGCCTTAAAACCTCACCGCCCGGAGCGGCCGATAAGATAAACGTATCATTGTTGTTCCGCTCTGGATTTCGCGTTTGTCGGAGAAACGCGTCCGGCTGGAAGGACCTCAATATCACCCTGTTGGGAATTCGGGGGTGCAATCATGCTTCCGCGTATATCGCTTTTATGAGGCGCGTCCCTTCCAATCTTTTGCTCTAATCAAACACATCCTCGGTCTTGTTGTCTTCTGGTTTCATCTGTACTACCATCTGTGTGCTATCGCATTGTTCGGGCGGCCTTCTGTGCGCCAATCTATACTTTTTTTTCATCTTAATCTTCATACCGCTATATTTGTCCGACTCAAAGGATCATGGAAACTGGTCAGGCTGTGTCCGGAGAGGGCGAAAGGTCTCACTCGGACAACGAAAATGATTTGGTCATGGAACTTTTCGCCAAGTTCAATAATCCCACCAGTCGCCCAGAACAACCCGAACAACCTAAACCCGAGCCACTGGTGGTTGAAATACCAGGAGTCACAGCAAGCCATCTCTCTGAATATGAGTTTCTACCCGGCCATTTCGATGTCCGCTATGTCATTAGCGAAACATCTGAGGCAGATGCTGGGCTGAGCTATCAAGTGAGGCTTCAGAGTGGCGAGACAGAACTGGTGGGGGTTTCTTTGCGTTCACTGACTCTTATTTGGCCCTCACCTTGCTGACTCTATTCTCTCTCCAGATGTCCTTCGCGCATCTTCAGTCTCTCCAGAACGGACCCGAAGCTCTTTCTAATTTCCTTAACTACGGACCGGATCACTACGTCTCCTCTCGATCCCTCTCGGGTAGCTCTTCAGGAGAGCAATCCTCCTCTGATTCATATGCTCCCAATATGAGGCGTTCCCAACGGGCTACACGTGGTCGCCGATCTGGTTTTACGGCATTCTTTGAGGGCATTAGCAGTGATGACGATAAGCGTCGCAGGAGAAAGAGGGGGACGCCTTCAAGCGAGGATATAATTGCTTCAGCGGGGGCTACCTCTAAAGGACGTCGGGTACTACGACGCCGCACAAATAATATGCGCACGATCATGTCGGAGTCTGATGAGGAAAGCGACTATAGTGCACCTAAGGGCACACGATTTTCCACTAGGACAAGGAAGGCTGTGAGAAGAAATCTGCGCGAAAGAAACGAGGATGACATCTCTGAGAACGAGGATACTCCTAGGATGCAGAAGTTTTTTGGAGCCAAGGAAGTCTTTCGCAAGATCCCAGAGCATGACTCATTTCGCCAACGTCACCGGAATGCGTGCGAAGTCTGTCATATCATTGGAGACGATTATGCAAAAGGGCCTCTGGTGTTTTGCCAAGGGTGCACGAGTGCTTATCACCAAGCATGTTTAGGTCCACGGTCTGCGCGAGAACATCTCGTTACCAAAGTAGGAGAAGAGCTCTTTCTTCTGCAATGTCGGCGCTGTCTGGGGGTTTCGCACACAAAGGACCCATCCAGTCCGCACCAAGGCCGCTGCTCTATTTGCAATATCAAGGGAAATATGTCCAAGCCAATCAAAGAACGTCTAACACCCAAACAAGAACAACAGCTCCGGCAACAAAATGGAGGCAAAGATCCTATCACGCCTTATGATATGTCACGCGTTAATGATGTGGACAATGTATTTTTCCGCTGCACTACATGCCACAGAGCCTTTCACTTCGATCACCTGTCCGAAATCACGCATATGACCTGGCAGTGTCAGTGTTGTTCGTCGGCACCTGGAGAGGTCGGTGCGATAGTCGCATGGCGCCCAGTTGACCCTAAATCGGATGCTGCCAAGGAGGCAGATAAGGAATACCTCATTAAGTGGAAAAACAAATCGTACAACCATACCACCTGGATGCCGGGCAGCTGGGTTTGGGGGTTTGTGAACCATCATATGCGCCGGGCCTTTTTGAGGTCTGATAAAAGCCTCGAACCGCGTATGACCACCGAGGAAGCGATCCCGGATGACTTCTTGCTGGTGGATATTGTCTTCGATGTCAGGTTTTCTGGCACATCACCCGATACTGGTAATAAGCGGACCTTCGAAGCAGATGCTGCGCGGGTGGATGATGTGGCCGAGATGTATGTTAAATTCAAAGGTTTACCATATGAGGATGTCGCCTGGGATACGCCCCCTGATCGCAGCAACCCTGAAAGGTGGGAAAGCTTCAAAGCTGCGTTTGAAGACTGGGTCAAACGGGAATATACCCACATACCAAACCAAGAGAATCTAAGAAGACGTATTGCCCACGTCAGGAAGCAGAATTTTAGCTCCAATGTTGTCAAAAAGGGCCAGCCCGAAACGATGAGTGGTGGGGAGATTATGGATTATCAGAAGGATGGAGTGGATTGGCTCTATTACATGTGGTTCAAACAGCAGAACGCCATATTGGCTGATGAAATGGGTCTTGGCAAGACCATCCAGGTCATTGGCTTTTTTGCGACTCTTATCCAATACCATAAATGCTGGCCCTTCCTTGTCGTGGTACCGAACTCCACGTGCCCGAACTGGCGCAAGGAGATCAAGTCATGGGTTCCCTCAATGCGGGTAGTCACATACTATGGATCTGCACTCTCCCGGAAGCTTGCTCAGGATTATGAGATGTTTGCTGATGATGACCCTAACCTTCGGTGTCACGTCGTGGTGGCTTCTTATGAAACGTTGGTTGATGATGCATCCCGGAAAGTGCTGTCGAAAGTTCCCTGGGCTGGTCTTATCGTGGACGAGGGACAACGGCTGAAGAACGACAAGAGCCAACTCTATGATGCCTTGTCACGGATCAAGTTCCCTTTTAAGATTCTATTGACCGGCACGCCTCTTCAGAATAATATAAGAGAGCTGTTTAATCTCCTGCAATTCTGTGATCCATCCAAAAAGGCAGATGATCTAGAAAACGAGTATGGAAATCTCTCCCAGGAGAACATCTTGGAGTTGCATGAAATGATCCGCCCGTTTTTCCTGAGACGGACCAAAGCTCAGGTTCTCACATTCCTCCCTCCAGTTGCTCAGATCATCGTCCCCGTTTCGATGTCTGTGGTGCAGAAGAAGCTCTACAAATCGATACTGGCCAAGAATCCGCAACTGATCAAAGCCATCTTCCAGCGGAAAAAAGGCAAGCAAACATTGAAACAAACAGAAAAGCATAATCTGAACAATATTCTAATGCAATTGCGAAAATGCCTGTGCCATCCTTTTGTTTACAGCAGGGCCATCGAAGAGAAAACGGCCAACACGGCTGCATCGCACCGGCATTTGGTGGATGCAGCTGGTAAGTTTCAGCTTCTAGAGCTAATGCTACCAAAACTCAAAGTACGCGGTCACAGGGTTTTGATCTTTAGCCAATTCCTTGAGAATCTGGACATTGTTGAAGACTTTCTGGAAGGTCTTGGGTTGATGTATCTTCGCCTTGATGGGCGAATGACATCGCTCGAGAAGCAGAAAACAATTGAAGCATACAACGCGCAAGACTCGCCGTACTTTGCGTTTCTCCTGTCCACTCGATCGGGTGGCGTGGGGATCAATCTAGCTACCGCAGATACAGTCATTATCATGGACCCGGATTTCAATCCACACCAGGACATGCAGGCATTGTCCCGTGCTCATCGTATCGGACAAAAGAACAAGGTCCTTGTCTTTCAACTCATGACCCGAGGGAGTGCCGAGGAGAAAATCATGCAGATTGGCAAAAAGAAGATGGTCCTGGACCATGTTTTGATCGATCGAATGATTTCAGAGGAAGACGACGGGCGGGACCTCGAGACTATTCTACGGCACGGGGCCCAGGCCTTGTTTGACGACGATGACTCTGGCGATGTGCGCTATGATTCCGAATCGGTTGATAAGCTTCTTGACCGCAGTCAAGCCGAGCAGGCTAGAACATCTGATGAGAACAGCCACGAGTCTCAGTTCAGTTTTGCTCGAGTTTGGGCTAATGACAACCAGAACCTTGAGGATCAACTGCAGAATGTAGAGGAAGAGCCTGCCCCGAGTGCAGACGTTTGGGAAAAGATCCTACGAGAGCGAGAACAGGCAGCCGCCGAGGAAGCCCGACGAAAAGCCGAAACCCTTGGTCGGGGAAAGCGCAAACGGACGGCTGTGGACTATGCCAATGATGCACTAATGGAGTTATCGCCTGTCAAAGACCGCTCTGATGCTCAGGCGGAGAGCGACGTGGAGTTCAGAGCAGATGAGGCAGCGGTTTCGGAGTCTGATTCCGCGCCCGATCTAGACCCCGAAGAGATGGAACAGGTGGCCAAGAGGTCTAAAGGTGAGTGCCCTTGCATGTCTGAGAGAGGTCCTCCGATGAGAGGCTGACAATAGCCATAGTACGTCATTTCCACCGCGTGCCCCCGCAGAGCTTGCCCCCGCCGATGGATGGCAGTGTAGAGGCCAGTCCCTATCAAGGGCCACCCTGCATCGCATGCAACCAGGTCCACCCGGTCGGACATTGTCGCCTGAAAATGGCCGGGGTCGAGCACTGTCCGTTGTGTGGGCTCGCCCACTATGGATATTCGCGGACATGCCCCCATTTGCGATCGGAGGCTCAAATCCACCTAATGCTCCAGGCGCTGAAGCAGAGCAAGGAGGACCCCGAAACCGTGCAACTGGCTAAGAGATACTTGGGTGGCATCCGTAGTGATCTTGCACAGCGTAAGAGACGGCTGGCCACTAAGGCTGCATCAAGTCTCACAAATCATGGCGCCCCCACTAGTGCCGTTGCGACGGACTCGCCGGTGGTCGATCTCACAACGGATGATGGCCCGCAGCCGGCTTTTCAACAACCACCACAACAAGAACCACAACAACCCCCATTGTCGGTGCCCCTCAATCCCCCGCGACCCCTTCAGCCTCCTCCTTTTGAGAACCGGCCAGTCTAGCCACGGGCTCTAAACTGTTTCCGGAATAAGGTATTTGGATTGGCGCTACAGGTCACGGGTCCACGGCGGAAGTATCAGGTACTCATAGGCTACGAGATGTACATAAACTTATTAGACTTCAGGGGAAACCGCCAGAAGTGGAAGGATCCCCTCGAAATTCCAGGCGAGGAAGGCGCTAGTCACATGGCCGTCTTTCTGGTTGGTTTGGCCTTTTTTTTGTTTATCTATGTTTGTAACCTTCTATCTTTTTTTTCTCTCTTCTCTCTCTTGCCGTTGCGTTGCATTTGCATGCCCTCCGCCAGGCAACGATACCTTCATAGTCCATCCTACCACCGGCCGAAATCTCTAGAGACAGACACTGAGAGTCCGGGCCGTCTTTCTTCTGGGGAAAGGAGTGCAGTGGCTAGCTCACCGACGTGCCAAAGCTGCCAGCTTTGCTTCCCACCCGACAGCGCGACAGCCTCAGTGCAACGTCCTCATCACCGCTGGTAGGGTCATGGGGGGGCCACACCATCTCTCCTGGGACTAATCGCGGATTTCTTGGTGGGAGGCCGTTTGCTGCTGATTTGCTGGACGGGTGAACCTTGTGTCACCCCAACACCAACGGCCAGTATAGCCGTTTCTCCCGCCACGTTTTTATCGTCCGTCAGGGCTTGGATTCAAGGGCAATCGAGAGAATTGTTCCAAGACATAGGAACTGCAGATCGCACCCGAAGCTTCTGACGGCTCTCTGCAAGCAGACCAACCGCCCCCCAATATCATCGGTCTTGTGATCCCAGAGAGAAGGGGGTTCCGCTGCGGACAGGGACAGGGAAGTGGCAGAAAAGAAATTGCAGTGATGGCTGCTGGCAAATCCTTCAAACTTGGAAAAAAAAATGCGTCACTGCGCCCCAACCACGCTGATGGGAGAAGGGGAAAAAAACAAAATAAAGATAGAGGCAGCCCGTGTGCCCGAGAAGGGAGGCCTGCAGCCATCCGGGCAAGACGGTTGTACTGACCAACATCATCGGACAAACACTCACGGCATTGAGCCAGGACTGGGTCCGGTCTCTTTGGTCTGATGAAGGGGGGCTCTCTTCTTGACGCCCATCTGGGATGTCTGTTGTGCAGCCCTTTTTCTTCCCTTTTGGATGGCAGGCCACCGTTCTAGCGGCTCTCTCCTCTGTCTTGCAAGGAAAGTCTCCGAGGGCATCTCTGAGCCACCGATTTTAGCATCCCACCATGCTCGTCATTCTCTTCCTGCTGGCCACAGCCATTGTAGAAGCTAGACCCGTATTGTTTGAGCCTTGACCCGCGGTCTCGCCCGGCGCCCACCTGGCCTCGCAGAAACAAAGTTCTTGTGTCATGCGCAAACCCCTGCTGCCAGCGTGAGTGAATGTCAACACTATCTTTCTTGCCCATGCACGCCGGCAATTCACCACCCCTCTGAAACCCACGACTTGCTGGGTTTCTGCCATCTTACTTGAACATTCTTCTTTGTCTTCTTCGCCCTCCTCCTGCCCTCTCCCATCTTCCTTTCTCGCCTCTTGCCTTCTTCCCTGGTGGCATCTCTCTACATTCGTTTCACTTCACACTATTATCATTTCCGAACTCCCTCCCCCCAGCTCCCAGATCCCTGACCACCTTACCTGGTATCCCTGTTTCTTTTAGAATGTCGTCCCCTATCAAACCCCAGCATTTCTGCACCCGGCCGGATGGCGTTTCTACTCCGCTCATCGCGGTCGATGAGCTCCCTACACAGATTTCGATCCGCGGGGTCCCTCGGACTCTGCAGCCCGACCAAACCCGGGGGATGACGAGCCTTGGAACGGTGGCCCCTAGGAGATCTCGTACTTATGTGGTCGACTGTTCTGGTTACGCTCCGCGTTCCAGCCGCCCCCCTCAGGATTCCGATCAGCAGGCCATGGTTGTCCGGCTCCTCAGGGACGAAAGCCTCCCTGATTCATTGCGTCTGGCCATGGCCACTTTGCACCAACATGGCCTCCTACATGGCCTGCTTGACACGGACTCTTCGTGGGTGGGTTCGAGCGGTGGTGCTGGTGGTAATGGTGCTGGTGGCAATGGTGCTAATGGTGGTAATGGTGGTAATGGTGGTTCCAAGCAGGTATGTGTTACTCAATATGTAACCTTGCAAGGACTCTACGATAAGGAACTGAGCATGGCTGACCCTACCCCAGGGCCCTCAGATCAACCCCAAGAAGATCTTTTGTTCGTACTGGATCCGGCATGGAGAGTGCGATTACATCCAGCAAGGCAAGTCGACGGGTGCGTGTGGCGGGCTGGAGGATGGGATCACTAACGGCACGATAGGTTGCATTTATCGCCACATCATGCCCCTAGATCTGCAGACGTTGGATATGCTTGGCCTGCGCGATATTCCTCGGTGGTATCGCGAAAAATATAATATTCCGAGCCTGCTTTTGAACGGGCATCATCAACGATCCCTTCCCGACGTCGCAAACCTCTCCCCGATGGACAGCGCCGCGTTCCCCGAACTCCAGTATCCGACACGGCCGCAGATCGAGGGGGTGCCAGATATTCCTGAAATCCAAACCGAGATCAAGCAAGATGCAGCTGGCCCCTCTCTTCCCATGCCGCAGTCGTCGCTGGCGCTGCCTGGTCCTTCCCGGCCTGCTTACGAGTCGAGGAAGGCTCCCGGCTCTCAGAAGCACGGAGCGAAGCATCCTTCTGGCTCGAAAAGGCTTGATCTCATGTCACCTTTCGACAACACAGTCTCGGGCTTCCCTAATTATTCGACCGTGGGCTCTACATCCGGGAACATGTACGCCCTGGGTTATCCACGTTCCCAAGAGGCCGCTGCGTTCGCGGCGAACCCAAGCGGGCAGGGGAACGAATTCTTTAGAAACATTCAATCCTTGATGCCTGGTACTATGGCTGGAAACTCGGCATCTCCAATGGCTGGCCCCGCGCTCAGCGGTCTACCCCCTCAAGGCCGCTCCAGAAGGGCCCAGAGGTCTCGCCGTTTATATGAAGCACGCTCCAATGCTGCTAGCCCTAAACTCGGCAATACGGACGCCTTTGGTAGCTTCAATAGGAATCAAGGCCCAGCACTCTCGACCGTCCCGGCTCCAGTTCCCATGGCTTCACTCGCGTCTCGTCTTACCAGTCCGATCATCGGACCCCTTGTCGGTAACACGTCCGAGCCTCCTACTCGCGAATGCTCTCCTCGAATCGAGCCCGGCTCTCTTTCCACGAAATCCAGCCCCGATTTCCTGCGCACTCAAGTGAACCCAAGGGGACGAAGACCGAGTTTTGGTGCCATCGGTGCCATGAGGGGTCGTCGCCAGCAGTCGTCCAACGGCTCCTCCCCCAAAGACAACTCGTTCATGTCGGACTCGAAATTCCGTGATTAAGGACTAGCCCTACGAGAAGGGTGTCCATGACATCTACTGCGGCCCGAACAGACTTTGAGTACATACGAGACTATTGCGATTTTGATGACTTGTTACGATATGATACACAGCATGGCGATGAATTAAATATATCGATCAAACTACCGACACGACCTTATGAGTCCGGCGGGTGGGCGTTCTGGACATCATCAAGTCAAGAACTTGACCTCCAGTTCAATCCCTTTTCCAGTCCATACTCAGATTCTCTCCTCGCCCACTTCCTTCTCAATTCCTTTTCTTTCCATCTATGTGTTTCTTTCCCAGAGCTCCCATGTTGGATGAACATCGTGAAATTGCTTCTTTCCCTTTCCTTCTTCCTTCCGTCTTTCTTGTTTCTAGGGCTAACAATGCTATGACTAGTGGCCCAGTATGATTACATACATCATACACCCCTTGGTGAAAACAAAACATTAAAGAAAACATCTATTCAATGCTGACAACGCCGGTCTGGTGGGGAAAACAAGTTGTTAATATTGCCTTCTTCTTCTGTTCTTTATGCTTCTTCGTTGTAATTACTCGTTCGTTCTCTTTCCGAAGTTGCTACTTCGCTTTTCTATCTATGGATCTATGGTCTTTTTATTTAAAACTGTCTTTCTTGTATGGGGTATATTTATAGCAAATTGCTGCTGTGTTTATAATCTATCTTTCTTTTCTTTTTCTCACATGGGGAAGTAGTAAATCAGAAAATCATGACAGAATGTGAAATCAATCCTTGGCGACTATGTTGCTCCCTTGTCTCGTTGAGTATATGGGTGGTCGGTGTACTGTAGATATTGGACATACGATCAGGGAAGAACTAGGTAAGTGTCAAGATCATGATGAATGTGATATAATACATTGAGACATAATAAACGTCTAAGACAACCTTGCGAATATGCGCCGCCCTGTTTTGTTTGAGCTTACACGGGATCAAGAAAATACAGTAAACCCTCGAAACAGACACATCAGTTATGGACATACCCATTTCTCTCCCAGAGATCATGTGGTTCATTTCAACGGAGCTTCCTCTTCTGGGCCTTTGCGCCCAGTTTCACGGCGACCTTCTCCCGCTCTTCCGTGGCCTTTGCCTTCAAGGGAGGGTTCAGAGACGGCAGCGTCCGCGCCGCATGCAGAACGACCTTGTTCCCGTCCACAAACGCCTGCCGTTCAGCCAGTCTCTCTATACGTCTGGCTTCCAGCTGCTTTTTGCGCTGTGGCGTCATGGCCCACGACTCGGGGAAGCGGCGCGTGACCTTTGGCTTGTGGTGACGCACGTCGAGAGGGATGTCCGTGAACGCATCACCCTCCTTGGCCTCCTTGATCAATGCCTTAATGGTGTCACCCAGGTAGCGCTTGTTTTGCGCGCGGAGGGCGAACTTCTCGCAGGACATGCGCACGATATCGGTCTGGGGGTTGTAGCGGACACCCACGAGTTTGAGGAAGGTCTGGCGCTGGGCTTCGGTGAGGTACTTGGGAGTCAAGTCCTTGGAGGACAGCTCGACGACGACCTTGGGTTCGGCAGGATGCTGCTCACCCATGTATGTTGTGTAACGGAAGCGGAGGATGTGAGATTCGTGGGGAAGGGTGAAGGGTTGGGCGAGCTCTAAGGGACGAAAGAAGAGAAGACGATCAGCAAGGCCGCATTATCAGTTGACCAGAAGACAGATAGGATAGATGCATACGGCTCAGGAAGGGCATATCCCATGCGGCGATTCGAGTGTATTCTCGAATGTCGCGATGTTCTTCAAGTTGTGCGTACGCCATGCTAGTCATTTCGTCATCGTTGAAATCCTCATCGCCGTCTTCGACGATACAGAATTCATCCGTTTCATCTTCCGCCCAAAGTCCACCATTCTTTAGACGCCGTTTGTTGAACGAAAGGGGGTTGCTCTTGTCAATGTCCATGGCTTCGCGATCGAGCTCCGAAAACATGGCCGCCCGTTTCTGCGGGTCGTTGTATTCTGCGACAAGAAGGCGGTTCTCTTCGTCGAATTCCTGTCGCTCCTCCGGAGACAACATGTCATAACGTGCCCGCTCTTCACTAGACAATAGATCGGGCGAGTATTCAGCCACCGGGGGCAGGTCCTCCGGGCGAGGGTCCCTCGGAGGGTCAGGGATGGTCGGGTCTTCGGGCATGAAGGAGAGGGGAGTGGCGGAAAATTGGCGGACTGGGGTGATGAGGGGCCCTCTCCGGGCCAGGAAGGAGGCCGAGCGGCCCAAGGACCGAGCGAGGAAGGCCATTGGGGAGGGGCAGTCTGGGGAATTGGGATGGAATGGGATGCGCTGTGGATGAAGTCCGGCGGATGTTTTTCATTTCCCCCAACAGCCGCGTGCCACTAAACTGCTTCGGGAAGGGCCGCCCTGACCGCCGGCGATGGCTTCCTCGGGCGGCTTTCCTTCCTTCCACTCGCTCCGTGCCTCCCCTCCCCTCCCTTCCCCCCCTCCCTTCTCTCCACACCTCCCAACAATGTTGATCATCGAGTCGGTAGTATCGTCCAGGTCCCGACTCACGCTGCTATGATCCCTTCACCACTCACTGTCAACAAGCCCTAAACCACCCCCTCACCCACCCCGGATTCACAATGGGAGCTGCTGTAAAGGTATGCTTCATCACCGTCGGTGCTACGGCTTCTTTCCACCTTCTTCTACACTCCATCCTAGAGGATGACTTCCTGCTGGCACTGCGGCGACTGGAATTCACGCACTTGCTCATCCAGTATGGCAAGGATGGCCAATCTCTCTGGGACGCCTTCCAAAGCAGATGTCCGCCCGCCAGTGAGGGTCGACATGGACTGGAAATTGATGGCTTTGATTTCAACCAAGCCGGGCTGGACGCAGAGATGCGCCTGACTCGGGCCAGTCCCCCCGAGGGCCGGACTGGGGGGTTGATTATCAGTCATGCAGGTAATTCAACCATCTTAATGGATTCGTTCTCCTTCATCGACTCAAATGGCTGACATAGTCGTCGTCCAGGATCGGGAAGTATCCTTGGGGCCCTGCGACTGGGCGTGCCTCTTGTTGTTGTCCCCAACCCGACTTTGAAAGATAATCACCAGGAAGAACTGGCACAGGAACTCCAGAAGCAGGGATACGTAGTCGCGAGCGACTATCGGTAAGCTGTTCTCCGGCCCCAAGTGTCTGACGGCCCAAATTTACTGACTTTCTCAGGGACATGGCGAGCGCATTAGACCGTGCAGAGGGACTGCGAACCCGGATGCTGACTTGGCCGCCTGTGTGTGGAGTAAGCCAGAGGCGCCAACAAACGCTGGGGGACGTGATGTCTGACGAGCTAGGCTTCTTAGATTGAAGTCGCATTCGAGACTCTGTTGATCTCAGGGGTGAAGTCGCGTGAAGCGGCGCATTGACGGCGGTTGACCTGCAACTTGTCTATGCTCAATTCTTCACTATGGTGTGAGACCAGAAGCTTCGAGAGCATCGAGATCGTCTAGGATTTGAGATCCCCGGGGCCGAGGACCCTGAACCCGACCATATAATAGTGGAAGGAACGGTCATACGACCTGCTAGTGATTATAACAGCGCATGGAACGGTGAAGCGCCTACTATTAGACTTACCTACTACAACAATGCACCCATTAATTTAAGGCTCGTCAAGAGATAGCTATATCTGTAGACGTAGTACATAGCAGATAGCAGATAGCAGAGGCGGTGCTCCGGCGGTGGTCTGTGCTTGGGTCCCATCGAAGTCGCCCGGCCCAAAAACATACGCGCAGACCAACCCGCTGCGTTGCTTCTCCGTTCTGGCTTTCTCGGCTTCTCGACTGGACAGATTAGCAACTGAGCTTGAGAACTCTTCGGAGAAAGCTTTGCGATCTTGTTCGACGTCAACGTCACCCACCAGCAACCGACCAGGCCGCGGGGCCTTCTCCGTCCCTTCGCCCTTGACAACAAAACACCCGCTCCTTCGATCTCTCCTCCCCGACACCAACATTCTCCCACGCAATGGCAGAGGCCACCCTTCACAACGCCCCCATCGTCATCGACAATGGCAGCGGGACCATCCGCGCTGGCTTTGCCGGTGAGGAGATCCCATCCTGCTACTTCCCCTCGTTCGTGGGACGGCCCAAACATCCGCGGGTGATGGCCGGTGGTCTCGAAGGCGACGTCTTCATCGGACAGCGAGCTCAGGAATTGCGCGGCTTGCTCAAAATCCGCTATCCTCTAGAACATGGCATCGTAACGGACTGGGATGATATGGAGAAGATCTGGCACTACGTGTACGAGAACGAGCTTAAAACGCTGCCGGAAGAACACCCCGTGCTCCTCACCGAACCGCCGCTCAATCCGCGCAAGAACCGCGACGCTGCCGCCCAGATCATGTTTGAAACCTTTAACGTGCCCGCGCTGTACACTTCCATTCAGGCCGTGCTGTCGCTGTACGCGTCCGGTCGGACAACGGGTGTGGTCCTTGATTCAGGGGATGGAGTCTCCCATGCAGTGCCAGTGTTTGAGGGTTTCGCAATCCCCAACAGTATACGGCGGATCGATGTGGCAGGAAGGGACGTGACAGAGCAGCTTCAATTGTTGTTGCGGAAGAATGGGCATGTGCTTCATACCAGTGCGGAGAAGGAGGTCGTCCGCATGATCAAGGAGAAGGTGTGCTACGTTTCGTTGGATCCGAAGCGGGAGGAGAAGGACTGGATGAACAGTTATCACAAGTCAGAGACGAAGTCGGTGGATTACGCGTTGCCGGATGGACACAAGATCAAGGTATGTCTGTTTCTTTACTAGCTGGCTCGAGTGGCCCTAATGGCGACATCACAGATCGGACAAGAACGCTACCGTGCCCCGGAGATTCTCTTCGACCCGGAACTCATTGGCTTGGAGTACCCCGGTGTGCATCAGATCGTGCAGGATGCCATTACCCGGACGGATCTCGATCTGCGGAAGTCACTTTACCTGAACATCGTCCTGTCTGGTGGGTCAACGCTGTGCAAGAACTTCCCAGACCGATTGATGCGCGAGATCAAGCGCCTGGCCGTTGAGGACATGAAGATCCGGATCTCTGCCCCTGCGGAACGGAAGTACACGACCTGGATCGGAGGAGGTATCCTTGCTGGATTGAGCACGTTCCGGAAGGTAAGTTCCCCAGTCATCCCTGCCCGAGATACGAATCGCCCTCTCAACTGACGCACCAAATAGATGTGGGTAAGCGCAGACGAATGGCACGAAGACCCCGAGATCATCCACCGGAAATTCGCCTAGACATGCTGCATCCCACGACGAAACCAAATATCAGGGACATGCGCGATGGACGTATACACTCCCGCACCTGCGAATCTCTCAGGACCATGACAGGACACGTTTCCGCAAGACTCACGCACGCTACTAGAAAAGAGGTCAATGGCGATCCTGACAGCTGTCAGGGTTCCATACAGACCCCGCAGCTTTTAATAGATACCCCTCTTTCCTGTTCGCCTCGATTCAAGCTGCAATACCCATCTAACCACCTACGCGACTTTACACCCACTACAACATCATCTTCAAGTCATTGAAAGAGACCTCGGTGGCGAGCCTCTGTCTATGTATTTGCACACATCACCGATGAGCCCAGCCTCCCAGCTCACCCACCTTCTGCTACTTCTACGTTCCTCCGGACCATTTCCATAGCCACATCGACCCCGATTCTCTCTGAATCCAGGCCCCATCTCTCCAGGGACGACAAGAGACATGACAACCTCCATTTCCCTGCATTTGCTTTTTCTCCTTCCTTTTTCTTTCCCGCTGACCTTGTGTGACCCTCGGAAGTTTTGTGTAAATATTGGATGCATAGATGAAAATATACGAGTCCCTACTTACCCACGTTCCCCTTACATAGAATATCCCCAAATCCACTCAGTTACAGTGGAGAGAGACAAAAAGTCCGCGAAACCGAAGATCAGCTGACTAAGACCCAACAGTCACAGTCACAGTAACCTGGCCAGTGACCATTAAAAAGTCAAGTGCCAGACACATGGCAGTGCAAATGTCCATCCCTACCTACCTGGGTAGGTGGTTTGTTACCTGGGCCCGGGCTCGTCCATCAATCAACCCGAGTAAACAAACCACTCCCTCCTATCTATCTTACACAGTATTTAGCTACTTCCCCTCAAAGCGCGTTACTTATCTACTACATAGATACCTATCCATCTACCTCCCAGGAACCCCTTTCCCTAGGCGCGTTGTTCATCTCCTTCTTCCTTATTTAACTATCCTACCTCTCGAAATAATGACACGGTTGTTGTTTTGGTTGTTTACACGTCCCTTACATACATACGTACGTACCCGATATAAACAAAACTTAGAGAATAATCGGGACGTGTACGTGTTCGGCCTAGATACCTACTACCTATTTAAAAGTGAATATTGTTGTAAGTAAATTGTGTAGGTGGAGGGAGGTTCGTGAGCTGTCTGGATTGTGTTTGTTTTATTTTAGATGATACCTGCCACCCACCCTCTTACATGTTTCCTGGGGGTGAGTGAGTGAGTGAGTCATGTCATTGGGGTGTATTATGATGTCAAGTCACGACATTGGGTCGTCATGCGGTGCAGGGATGAAGTGCTGTATTTTTACAGGGTCACGTCGGGCTTTGGTGGTGAGGTAACAGTTTTGGATTGTTTATTGTTTACTGACGTGTTTGTGGAACACGGGGATTACAGTGGCAATGGAACGCTATGTTTGTGGGGTTTGTGGTGTTTTGGGGTTGATTTCACAGATAACTAGTAGCATACAGGAGAAATCGTGGCTCTATAGCCAACAACACAAAAAAAGCTGCTATGGTGGTGAAAGCAAGGATATGCAGAGATCCCATGCGGTGGAAAAAGACAAGATCCACTGGTTGTCCCAGAGAATCACAAAGGAACTAGCAGACAGGTCCATGTCAACGCCATGCTAATGTCCACGTGTAAAGACGAGACCATGGCTAAAGGGGTATCATGTTGAAAGAATTTGATGTGGAGGTTGAAGATTGGTAGAAGAGAAAGAAAATGAGGAGAGAGTGGGCGGAGAAGTAGCACCACAAATCAAGTCAGAAGTGGTTGAGTTTCGAGAGGATGAGGATGATTAAAGCCGTATTTAGATGAGATAGTAGGGACAATCCTCGTATGTCGAATTGGTTGAAAGAAAGAAGAAATCAAGAACTTTTTTTGGTGGTCGTGAGTCGTGAGTCATGATCTGCTAAGCGCAACGCTTGGAGGCAGGCAGCAATGGACACAATAGGTTGAAGAGAATCCCCTAGTCACACCTATGCCATGCCCCTGAGCTTGCCCCAGCCCTTCTCGATGCTGCGGAGAGCCCGTTCCCGAGTGGAACCGGAGCTGCTCGAGGTGCCATTGCTGCTGGCAGAGAACTTGCGGCTGAGGCTGCTGGAGGAGTCGTCGCTGAAGACCATGTTGCCGGCTCCACCACGGCCGACATGGTAGACGGGGGCGGCGCGGCGAATATCACGCTCAAGCTCCTCGTCAAAGCTGAAGATGGCGCGCTCGGTGCTGCTGTGGACGTTGCCAGCGCCACCACGGCCGGACTTGAAGGTGCTGGGGACATTGGAGTCCAGACGCGTCAGCGAGGCAGGACCGGTGGCCGTTCGAGAGTCGGTGGTCTTGGTGCCTCTCAGGTTGATGACATTGCCGGCACCTCCACGAGCCGTGTGCAGAGCTGGACGGGTGGTGTGGGGGACCGACGGGTGCGGTTCAACGACACGGTAATTCATTGATGCTGGCATGGTGGAAGGATGTGATGGGTGGTAGTTGTTGTTGTTGTGATTGTGGAGTGCAAGTAGTTGCGATGCGGGAAGTATATAAATCACAGTCTAAGCCGAATGACTCAAAGCACGGAAGCCCAATCCGGTAAGCGAAAATGGCGTAATGGACATGTAGACGCAACAGGGTCAATTGATGACGAGCTTGACAGGAAAGAGGGACCAAAGGTCAAGGCAGAGCCTGTAAAGTAGTAGTGGTGGTAGTGGTGGCGGTAGTAGTAGAAGTAGTAGGCAGATAGGCAGGCAAGTAGTAGAGAGCAATGAGGAACAAAAAAAAGTAGTCTTGCGTGACTATTAAAAGGAGCAGACTAGAAAATTTCCTCCTTTTGACTATTCATTTTTTTTAAAATTGTGAATGACTCCTCAAACTGCGCGATGCTGATGGAATCCACATCTATAGCCTGGAACCAGACCTCGCAGCGGGGAAGGAGTTATATAGTTGGACAGTTACCGGGGGAAGAGTCAGGTCGGCCCCCTTTGTGACGGCAGCCAGCCTCATGATTGCACCATGCCCTTTTGCGTGGTTTCCTTTTCCAGGCACCGCGCCAGGGTCACACCCTTGGCCCGGTGGAGCTGCCCAGCTGCTCCATCCCAATCGTGAATTCTGGGCTTTTATGCGCGCGCTACTCCATCATCACCGCTGCTTTCAGCCCTGCAAATTTTCTCTCTTCTTAGGGCGGCGGCGGGAACGTGCCGCTTTCACAGCCAGTCATTGCCCGCCTGCCTCCGATCCGGTATTCTGATTGGCTGTTCAGGGCGCCACCGCCCCTGCCCAGTGTGGCTGCTTTTGTGAATTTCTGTGCGATCATCTGACGAGCACGCGCCAGTCCAAGGCGTGGCGAAACGTAACAGAAATTGGCGCCGGAGCCAATCAGCAGCGACGGATGAGCCCGAGGGCTGGCTCTGGTGGTTTCCTGGGGGTAATGGAAACTGCTGAGGCGGTCACGCGTCATCGGCCAACACATTGCGTGAGGAGCTTTTGCTTTGACGATCCTGTCGGTCCCTCTTTCACCATCAATAGTAACACCTGGAGGGGCCATGGCATGCTGCATCAGGCGCATTTCCTTGGTCTTGGATGGAGTCCCAGACACCTACTAGGTACTACTAAACTACTATTAGCAATTGGAGGTTTACTACTAGTATCTAGTAGGCAGCAGCCAGCCAGACGAACACGTTCACCACAAGTAGTTCGTTGTTCACACCTCGATAATATCCAAGGCGAGCCTCGTGGCTTCTTCACTGTCAACCGGTCAACCGGATGGGCATGGAACATTATGCCATACTGCCAGGTTATTACTACTATTATTATTCCCCGCAGCAGTAGCTGAAATCGGAAGCAGCGTCGTTGCATCATGATTCGCGGTGCATTCTGAATTGGAAACGCCATGTCCTCGCTGGCTAAACTCTGATCCCCGGCAGTACCGAAGGGGCCCTTGAATGATGGCGAATGCATTGCCCAGTCAAGGCCCGGTTCATAATTCCCGGCTAATCAGGCACGCTGGCCGGCGTCTACGTGCAAAGTAGTAAGTAGGTACCAGGCAAAGAGCCCGATGCTACAGGCCCAACAGAGGCAGGAAAGTCTACCATGTACAGGAGATGATGGCATTGTGCATGAACGATTGAACGTCAACCGTCAAGACTGCAGGAGGGGCCAGTATGGACTCGATGGAGAACGGGAAGTCCCTCAGGTGAGACTAGAGTGACTAAGACTTTGCCGGCCTGCCGGTCGAGACCATTTTTAGTGCAGAGATTTTTCATGATGGAGACGGCTAGCGGAGATCATCAAACGACAGCCCCTCACCGCATTCCCCATCCTCAACTTCCTTGTTGGGCCCCATTTCCACCTCGTGTCGGCTGAGTCCTGAGGGCTGAGGGCTGAGGGCTGGCAGGATGGAGTCCTTCCTCGTAATGCTCACCAAAGTTCCATGAATTTGCAGAGCACTGGATTTTGAGGCCTCCCTCCCTCGTCGTCATGGGATTATGGATGACCCAAATGGAAAAATGAGGGAGTGCCTGAGGATCCCCACCACCCCCTCCACCACGCTAAACCCAAGCAGGACAGCTTCCCCAGACGCCCAAAATCTGGAACCATCGAGAGGGGGAAAATGCCGCCCGGAAATAATGCCTCATCTGCCTCAGGACTCAGGAGTGAGGAGTCAGAATCAGACACTCCCACGCCAATCTTTCTATAACGCTCATCATTATTATTAACCCACCCCCACCGAGTGAAACTAATATTAGTCAAATGAACTGGATACTAAGGACCAACTACTGAGGGGCTAGTGAGGCACTGCCGGACTGCAATTCCATTCCAGCATCTCCAGGGGGTCAGGGGTCAACCCCTGACTGGTCACTTCAGCCGAGCCGGTTGGACCGGCAAATGGCCGCCATTCCCGCCATCCCTGTCAACCGATGGACATTGGAAACGTCCCGAGGCTGGTGTCGAAGTCTCGCAGAAGGATTAGAGAGTAGAGACGTGTCGACTGTCGAGGACACGTCGTGGCTTCCCCGGATTTTCGCCCCGGAGCATACTAGTTGCCATGCAGGTTTCATCACCCATCACTCCCGGCTGACTGCCACACACGGGTCATGACGCACCCCAATTTTCCGAGCTGGACATTCCCCCTTCCTTCGGGCACATTCACTCCCCTCACTGACCTCGGAAGTTGTTGCCTGGAGGTTGCGGAAGCTTCCATGCCCCGCGAAACTCAGCGCCTGATGAGGTGCTCGTGTGCGTCTGTTCCAACCACGCTTAATGTTGTGACACTGTTCCTCGTATTTCCGGCATTCCTGGCTTGCCATTAGTAAAGGGATCAACAACAAGGCCACAGTCGTCCACGGGACCAGCGTATATTGCAGTCATTTTATCGAAATCCAGGATTCTCAATGTCCCTTGTTTCCGGCCTCTCAGCAGGTAGCTGCTAGTTACTACGCTACGAACCACTCCGCTCATAGTTGAGATCATGACCAAGGGCTGCTGAACGGCCTTTGACTGCCTATACGATGGTCAGACCTCCTAGCAACACGTTCGTCCTTGCGTCGTTCCTTCAACAACTTGTTGGGTGTCAAACTCACTACCGGTTTAAACCTGTCCCTCCAGGTGGTGTCATAAGAATGCATTGTTGATTCCCCAAATGAAACCCTCGCTTAAGCCTTGCTAAATTGGCAATCTCTCATAACTGACAAATTCCGCATCCTATCTATTCCACAGCTAGCACATGAACCCTTACTTGCTCTATGATATGTCGCACACTCCGAAGCAACCCTTCATGAGACCATTGGCAAACTTGTCATGAAATCGCCCCTCCTCTAGGCTCGCTGTACTTGGGAAATAAAAAGCGAAGAAAAGGTGTGAAAAAGATAAAACGCTATCTTCTAGCCATATCAATTGGCCGCAGATTGTGGTGCAATCTATCGATCAATATCGATCAACCCGCTCTTTGTAGCTCATATTGCCCGGAAATTATGGCCCTTTACTGACCTCTTCAAGAGGATATTTAATCTTCTATTGTTGTACTTCCTCGTGGCAATGGACATGACACTCAGTTACAATACCTACCTTAGGATTTATATACCCCAAAATATGTACTTTATACGATTTACGTCAATCCTAGCCCAACCGTTGCCCACTGAATAAGGGTCAGTGACTACTAGCTGGGTCACCTGTCAAAACTCCAATCGGATGGCTGAGGCGCATTATACAAGATAGTGCACGGGCTGGAAGGGTAGACAATATGGCGAACAGTTGTTTACTACTAGGTTGAATGACAAGCCTCGCAAACTAAGGACCCGGCGGTAGATTTATACAATCGACACCAATGCTGACGCTGTACAACGCAATCAACACAACCAAGAGTCAGACACCGACTCTGATCAACTAATGGAATAATTGATTAGTTTCTGACATTAATTGCGCATGATCTAAGCACCTTAGTTTTCCTTAACACAACATTTAGCACCATCCTTGCTGTCCCTGCTTCCAATCGTATAATAGCCGCAGTGCCCAGCTCGAAAGTCACCGGCATCCAATAGGGGAAGCAACGGACTTCACGGTGAAAATCTGTAGAGCTTATCAAAAAGTATCTATAGCGTACTATACAATAGAAACGACGAGGCCGGTATAAGTTCATGATAGCTGTGGCATAGGATGCTTGCATCTACAGATTAGAGCCTGAGGCCACCCGATCATGCCAGTATACTGCCGTGGCTGACCGCCTTCATATCGCATCGAACTCCGCCTCCAGCAGTCCGTCGCCATTCATTCTCTTCCGCTAACATCCTCGGTCTTTCGCGCTCATTTGCTCTCAAATCGAACCTTGTTACCCAGAAATATTGCATCTCTAGCCAATACAGCGTTGAACATCCCAAACCCGAGCTTTCTCTTCCACGCGCAACGCGCCACCTGAGCGCCGCCGACTCGAGCTTGATTTGCCTGCAAAGAGCAGCTGCTCCCTGAACATCAAGATGCCCAAATATAAGTTATTCCATGACCTCTTGATGAGCAAAAATCACTGACAGTCGCAGTACTCTTCTGTAGGACACCCTTGGCCACTGCCACATCCACCTCCGGACTGGACCACCGCGCATGCAATTCCTTCCATCGTTCCATCCAGCCATCATGTACACAGTCACCCTCCAGCTGACCAATGGCCTGACTATAGGTGACTACTGCGATGTCTACCTCACGCACGACTCCATGAGCGTGCGCAAGGCGCACAACTCTGGACGTAACCACCTGAGAAACGTCCTGGAATACTACCAACGTATGGCGGCCTCGTCACTCTCAGTCCACCCGAAAGAGTGCTAACTCGAGAAACAGAAATCGGACAAGAAAAGGCCCAATCGGTTATTGATTCCATTACGTCGTCCTATGCTGCCGAAGGCCAGGCCGTCCCGAACCCTGCAATGGCTCCCCCGGGAGCTTACCCTCCGCCATTCGGCTTCCCTGGTACGTCTCAACCATCACACCACATACGCCTCACCTTCAGCAAACCCATAAACTAACTCTCCACAGTCCGTCCAGGACAACTCCCCCCACCCCCGTTCGGAATGCCTCTTCCGGGCGGACCAGGTGGCGCACCGGGCATGCCTCCTCGTACGTCCACCCTCCCCATACAACCCAACATCCTACAAAACTAACCCCGTCCCATGAACAGCCCCCGGAGCAAGAGGCCTTCCCTTCCCCCCTCCCTTCCCCACAGCCGGCGGCGCCCCTCCCGCAGGTCTTCCTCCCCTCCCCAACATGCCCCCGGTGCTCAGGGTTTCCCTCCCCCACCCGGCGGTTTCCCGAACTTCCAAGCACCCCCTGGCGCTCCCGGTTTCCCGCCGATTCCTCCCCCGGGCCAGGGCCCAGTTGGATACAGCCCCAGCCCTACACCCGGTGTAGGCGGACCACCGGGACAGGATGGCTACGCGCCGCCTGGTATGAGCTCAAGTCTTCCTGGACCTCCTCCGGGACTGGGCGACAAGCGCTGATTCTTTATCTGATCGTCTATTTTTATGTTTCTATACCGATTGGGGACCGTCCTCTTTTTCCTTTTCTTTTTCTTTCCATTTCTTTACTCGACTATGTATGTGCCTATTAGATTTTTTTCTTTTCCCTTGTGATTTCATACCAGCGTTCTTTGGGAATTCGGTCATGCGATTCTTCCTATTATCTATTGAGAGGAAGGAAAAGTTGGTAAATCAGCAGAAATGAACGACATGTCTTGATTGATGGGTTCAATCAGCGTGCATGCATACGTATGTGTATGTGCATCATATATGGTCTGTTCTGGACTAAAACATTGAAACTGAACTCAATAATAGATCGAGTCTACATGCTACGGGGGACGCCCAAGGTGAATTTGAAAGGTCATGCGTTTGTGCAACGCATGGCATAGCATTATGATTTCTTTCCGTACATGAGGAAATCACACAATAATACAGGGATATCGGATCAGACAGTAAACAGACCCCCTGTCACTCAAAAAAACTTCACATATTCCGCAAAACCCAAGTACCGATCTCCAGATCCAGTATTTCAGAACGCCAGCGGTGAAAAAACATCGACAGAGAAAGGGGGAAAGAAAGGAAGATGCCTTGGTAGGGTTCGGAAGACAGCCAGAGCAAGTTAAAAGAAAAGAAAAGAAAATTTTCCTGTATATCACAGTATACGACAAGGAATGGTAGCCAAAGGCAGATGCACAGGCAAATGTGAGGAATCAAAAGCAAAACGCACATAGTGCGGGTGGATGCGGTCAGTAAAGCTAGAAAGGGCCCGAAGAATCAACCCATGCCCGCACTAAGCCATAACTTCATCTCAAGCAGGGCTAGAAAGCAATCGTATTATTCTTTCAGTGGTCATATCCTGCCCCCCTTTGCCATGGGCTGGGGTTGTTTTGTTGCCGGTATGCATGTGGGTTCTGAAAGGGGGAGCTGTTGTAGCCCCGTGGGACGGGAGATGGCGCCCGTCCGAAATTGGCATCGTAGCTTGGGGGGCCGTTCCGGATCGAATTGTTGTCGCTTGGGAATAGCGGCAAGGATGGGTCGACTGGGGAAACCGGGGAATGACGAGCGGTCTGGTTGGCCGGGGCCTCGGGGGCTTCGAGGTTCTGGCGGCTAACACTGGCACCGTTTCCGCTCGAGAAGGACGCATTATCATCCTCAAACGGGCTGGACTTGTATGGCGAAGGCTTCATGTCCCCGCGGGCGGTGGCGCCCAGGGCATCCAATTCGGTTGTCAGCTGACCTCCAGATTTGATGAACGAGCCCCGGTCATCTCTCATGGGCTGGTACCGCGTGTCGGGGTTCTTGGAAACGATGGCGTAGATAGATGCGATCAGGACGAGGATCAACAGCACTAGGGCAAACACAGCGTTGTATACGAAAAAGACAACACCCATAACACCGGTGACGATGCCAGGCTGGTTGAACACATTGGAGAAGAAAAGAAGGAAGATAACGTTGAGGAAGTTGATGGCAGCGATAGAGATGTTGTAGATGTTAGTTTTCTTGTCCATCCACGGTCGCAGGACGCTGACGCCAATGAGCATGCCGGCTTCGATGATGACGAGGGCGATCGTTTGCACAACCGGAGCTGGCTGGCTCAAGCCAATGAACATGCCCTTGATGAGAATATATCCCAAGAATGGAACGATGAAGTAGTATGCTGTTGCACGATATTGCACATACAAGAACCCCCACTTGTTCAAGCAGGTAGGGTCGGAGTAAAGGATATAAGCCGGGTTCTTGTGCATGATGACGGAGCGTTTGGCCAGATGCATGACCTTGACCGCAGCCCAACCCAGCGCTGCAACCACTGAAATAAACATGATCACGGCGAGAACCACCTCGGCAGCCGAGTCCACCTTGGTAAACTCCCACAAGCAGAGAACTGACATTTGGGGGAAGCCGATCAGGGTGAGCCGGAACAGGATTCCACGTGCGACGACCTTCCATCCGTTACGGAACTCCTGGAACTTATCACTCTTCATCTTGCCATTCTTGACAAGAAGCTCGCAGATAACCTTGAAAATGGCAACGAGCAACATTACCAAGGCGACGAACACGACAAAGAAGATCAGACCGGTCAAAAAGATATTCGTGGTTTCAATTCCAGCCTTGAAACCGACACGCTCAATACCACGAACAATGACACTAGAGTCCGTGGCTGTCTGGGTGCTTGCGGACGAACGTTTCTGATAATACTTGAAGTACCCAGTGGCTTTCCTCACAATGCCTTCTTCATCATCAGAGCGCTTGCGACGTTTGTAAAGCTGAACCGACGTCGTTGACAGGTCCGAAAGAAGCGTCGAGGCAGTCCCTCCGGTCGACCGTTGATACCAGGTGCAGATGTCTTCCAAGAAGCCGACATGGATAATACCCATACTCCACTGGAAATTCTGTGTCCATGACTCCACAATCGGAGGCATGTGAACTGATGTCATACCGATCATTGCTTGGGATTGCATGAAGCTGAAGAGGGAGAGTGCGTTAGCCGCGACGTGAGCAGCAGTATTCGAATGGCCCAAGCCCGAGGTGATAGCCGAGGCAGCCAGTCCTAAACCAGAGATAATTGCTGTCGTCCAGCCCACGCCCTTCTGATAGACTGTCTTGCCGTTTGAAAGGGACGCTTCGACACAAGTAATGCTTTCGCCGGTATCGGTGGAGTTGATGTAGATACGCACGTTGGCATCGAGATCCGGCACGGTGTAGGCGATGTCTACAAGAGGTGATCAGTGGACTAGGGCACACTTTGAGGGTACACTGAGTGCAGAGAGCACTCACTTGGAATGGACTTGACCACGGATTCAGGCACCGTGATGACAGCTTTAGGAACATCGATAGCACCAGCATTCATGGGACAAAGTCCCGAAATATCCATTTCACATGGGTCCAGAGTTTTGGTCAGAACCTGGATACCATAGGCCTCGAGAACAAGCTCCGCCGTCACCTTTCCCGAAATTGCCGACACTCCATCGAAGCTGAAGGAGAGCGAGCGGTTGCCCGGTGTAAAAGTGACACTGAAGTAGGTGGCTGTGAAGTTCGAACTGTCTTGACAGATACTAAGAGCATTGGATTCGATGAGCTTGACGGCGGCCGCCTGCGGGGAGTTGAGCAGGACGACCAAGAAACTGATGACGAGGGATATTAATCGCATTTTGGCCGGGATATGGCCGGGGACTGCCGCTGCAAAGGATAGCGAGGGCGTCCGTCGATGAGTGGGGGGTTAAGTAAGTAGGAATGTGAGAAACAGAGTCGGTCGAGCAGAAGGTGGTACTCCAGAGCACCAGCTTGGCGCGGCCGGATGCGGAAGTGTAGGAAGTCGGCGGATGGTGACCTCTCTCGTGCCTTGGGGTCCCCGCTGTCGAATTTGCGGAGGGTGGGATTCTAGGAAGCGTCGGATACGGCACTATGTAAGGATTGTCGCTAGACGGGGGTGGGATCCTGTTGCGATTACGGTTCACCACGTCATTGGTAGCCCAGGGCGCTTCTTTCCGTGCAGCAGAACAAAAGATCGGATGAAACGGGTATTATCGAGGTGAAAGAGCGATTGAAAAAGAAGTCGGTATATAAAATGAGCGACGGTCGGTGGTATAAAGAGGTTAAGAGAGTGTCGAGGTTGGGACTGAAACAACAAAGCGAGCGTGGATGGCGACACACAGTATGGCCGGGGGGGAGGATAGGTAGGTGGTTGCCTGAGTCTCTCCCTAAAAGCGGGAAGGGAAGGGAGGAGGGGGGTGGAAGGAGAGGAGGTGTTTCGCACCCTCGGGGGATCGAATTGGCGAAAGAGAGATGCAACGAAAAGAAGAGAAAAACAAGACAAGACCACAGGCGGAGGGGAAGGGAAGGAAGATGAGAAACCGTCGCCCTCTGGAAACACAGTCACAGCGCCGGACGTGTGTATTTTCTTCAGGGGAGCGAGCCTTCTGGTCGCAGGAGAGACGGCCGGAATGTTGGTTGTGAAACCACCGGGAGACCTCCAGGCGCTGACTCAGCACGGGGGCGGCACTCGGGGAGCAAATCAACGCCGGGACTGGGCGTGTCACGGGAAAGTGGAGAGAACCACCGCCGGGCGGAGTGCTGTACGGTACCGTATCCGCAAGGTAAGTTGGTCCCTGGTACAATTTAACCTGGTATGGAGCCTGGAAGAGTTACAACAACCGCCGCTCTATCAAGGATGAGGAACAATAAAAAGGGAACAGCTTCCAACGATGACTGTCTTGGGTGACAGTGCAGTAATAATGGGCGGCAAACCGAGCTCTTAGTAGTCCAATCAGCAAATACGCAGGGATGATGTCTACAATCCCTCACTCCGGGAACAAGGTCCGGAACGATCACAAGGTCCAACAAAGGTCAGAAGCATGGCAAAGCAGACAGAATACTAAGTAGTAACCATGCTGCTGCTGCTCAGCTGCCGACTTACATACTAATACCCGGGCCGGGGCGAGCAGCAGCTGCCAGGCCTGAAATGATCGGATCATCAGAGTCATGCCTCCTCCTTCATGGGCGGTACCAAACTGAAGTCATCGACTCGATTTTCCTGTCCCAATCTGCCCGACTCCAGCTGGTGCGCACGCGCGTCCCTCAGGGGGTTGGGTCTGGCCCAAATGCGGATGCCTACTTATGCTTTCCATACCCGCCGGGCCGCGCTCTGATTTGTCTAGCACCGGCGGGCTAGAGAAATTTTATGGCGCCGGGGGAGCCAAACGGCTGGCAATCATGGATGGTTCCATCCTCCCACCGCATTACGAAATTACCATCCTCCGTGCTTGTGGGGTGCAACCGCAGACTTGCAGACTTGCAGAGGTTAAAATCTGATGCCAGTGGATCTGGTCTGCCGTTGTTCGTCGTCCTGGATCGCAGTGTCTTGGAGTTGGTGCAGGTGCACAGTGGACACAGTCCATCCCATCCCACTTGCGCTTACTGTCCATCCGAAGATCTACACTCCCCTCTGTGCTGTTGTCTACGTAGGAGAGACTTCCAAGTTGTCGCTCACCACTGACCTCGTTCTCCGACTTTCGTCTGCCCCTCCTCCTTCTCTTTCGCCCTTTCTCACCGCCTATATCAGATCGCATACTGCTATTTATAACCTTGCATTTCCACGAGTCTTTGCGACGAGCCAATGAAACGCATTGCTGTGACTGAAACATCGTGGTGCGTACCGAACCAGCGCAAGGAGCAAGGTCAATGCAACGTAGCAGACCATCTCGATCGCGGCCACTAGCAAGAAAGCACGGCGGAATGAGGTCTCAGTACCCCGTACATATGAGATGTCAGGTCCTTTATCGATCACCTTGAACTGTCAAATCTCCAGCTGAGGTTATATTCCGGCCGATCTACCTTTGTTTCAACCGTGGACCTGGACCCTGTGCCTGTGCCTGTTCCTGGGGACCGTGTAAGGTAACACCGTGACCGTGTAACAACCCGACATGCTGCTGAGTAATTACCTGGTAAGGCCGTGGGATGGATGCTGTCTGTGTGTGTCTTGTCTCATGTCAGACGTCGATAACCTGCCTCAATGGGAGAGAGAGAAACGGCAGAGACGGGCCAATTGCTGTTCATGGGGTGACATGGGCCCGTGTTAATTGCTGTTGATCTGAAAGATCACCGGAATGGTAAGAAAGATCGTACTCGTATCATGAGATTGCCATACTACTGGTAGGTAGTATTATTGAACATGGACACGGTAGGGCGCCCCAGACTATGGACCAAACCATCCGTCAAGGGTTATGGCGACTATTTGTTCCGCCAGGGAAACTGCGCTGCACAGCCTCCTCCTTGCCCAATCTTCCAGAAACCAAACTATCTACTTGACCGATCCACCTATTTCCGATTTAATCAACTACAAACCAGCAATATGGCACATTATCGAGCTTAGTTCTCTCGCCATGAACTTATAGTTGTTATATTTCCATTCCCTTGTCTCCGAGCATCTTTCCAATTTCCACCCACACACACACACACATCCGGACACGCATCTATCTAGTTGAGATGACATCGCTTCCCGCATCCCTGATCAACACCAACCAAAGAGCAGATCACCAGGCCTGCCCGTCCGTGATCGCGCATCATGACGTCCTTTTTCCCCATTGATCATCTTTCCCAAGTCCCAACCCCGTATTTTTCTTCATTTCCCCCGGTGTGAATTTCCCACGAAGCAAAATCTCCCACTGACAACCTTCTTTTCTTTTACTCGCACATTGTGTTGGGACGGAAAAGACGCCCATCTTAGTGGATTAACTAACTATCAGGGTCCCGAAGCGCTGACGCCTCAACCTTGGGATGACGGAAGGCTCGTCCTATTTTTGGCTCCTGGCCTACGACTGCAGAACCAAGGATTGCGTGGCTCTCGGCTACGCCACTCTTCGAGATCTCGCCTGGCCGATTTCTTACGACCTGGTGATGGTGTTTCATGATGGATTTCAACTTTATTCTGGTTCGCTAGATAACTCCGCTTAGTTAGTACTACTGTGCAAAAGGGAGTTCATAATTAGATAATGTATCATAGCATAATTCTCATTGTCTTGATTGGAGTTTTACGCAAGATTATATATCTTGAAGGAAACAATACCTCCAAGTAGTATAGATTAGACTTCCCAGAAAATAACACTTCGAACGAATTGTATATCTTCATCTACCAATAAAACATTTCAAGTATACGCGCTGCTTATGGATATAACCTCCAATCCCAACGATCTACATTTAATCCAAGTCCTCCTCATACTATCACATCATTAGTACTATCTAGCAGAGAATACACAAAACCCTGCCTATTAACCCAGTAGCTGGTATCTAGTAATTGCTAGCCAAAGAACCCTTGAACTAATTCTTAATCTAATTTCACTTGTACTTTTCTATACCCTGAGCACTTGCCCCTTTGGTAATCCGCTAGACCATGTTGGAAATGCCATTATACTGATGCCTAAACTACGGCGCCTGGAGAAACCGAGACATGATGCCCATGCAGTGCTCAAGCAGAATGTTTTTTCTATAGGAAATGGGTAATGTCAATTGTCTACTACTGGTACAAGATATCATATCAACAACTAAGTTTGCAGCCGACTTTACCAACTACATTTGATGACGTGTCTTTGGATGCTTTACGTATTAGCCGCCCCCAAGGGGCCCGCACGAGAGACTTGGATGTCGTCCGTGCATCTCATAATGGTGTTCATGTTGCGTACAACTACGATAAATGTTCACAGGTTCAGTGACAGCGCATATTTGACTGACTTTTTTACGAAACCGGTGACAAATTGGAGTGTTTGAAGCGGCATAGAGAGAACAAGGCGCATTCATAGGTCAGCCTTGCGCTTTCTAGAACCTAGATGGGCACTAAGCTGTCAGTGGATGGAAATACTAAGTATAGGTCTACCTGAAACATTCGACAAGTCACCTTCAGTTCCTGAATAGTACGTTTTGTCTGTATGTTGAGAGCCAAGCTGCCGTCAGGGGCAGCCTGAATATTCCGAATGGTAGTTTGGCCAAGAGTATACGGAGTATGCCTAATCAGATAAGAAATAAAAAGGGGCGAGATGCACCACAGCCACAATTAGCGCTCAATAAGGTCTTGGGAGACTGGCATGGATTGGTTTTACGCAGCCTGTATCTTTTGGCCAAGCGGGCTGGATTTGTTCTTTGATAGCTGCAAACGCTGGAGAACGATGTGAAACATTCAATGTAAAGCACCGGGTACGGGTGGGGCGTACTTGATGCGGCATTTCATCGAATCTATTTCTCCTAGAGACTGGAAGTTCGCAATAGACATTTTGTTTAGCCACTAGTTAGAGGCCACCTGATTACCCTTAGGGGTTCACTGAAAGCCCCGGCTTTGCGTTGATGACCGAAAGTCCGAGTATTCAGGCTCGGAATTCGGAATTTCGGAATGAAATGCCTATGTAGTCAAAGAATAGTACCCACCCAATATCTATATGGAGTCAAAGTCTTGTCCAGGGGCAGAATGAGTATTACCATGGCCTCAAAGGGGCCCGAGTCGTCAGGCAGCTTGACGGGCGCGAATACGTAGATCTGAATATGGGAGCTGTCACATCCTATATCAGAGAGTTCACGCTCGTATGCCAGAGTTCCTGTCTGTTGAAGGGATTCTGGAGATGAAATGGGACCTGAAGACGGCTTGTTGCAATGAAAGTACTTCTATGTAACTGCCATTAGCTTATCTTTCAGTTTCTGGGGTTTGATAAAGATTCACCAAACATAGCATGTCAAGAACTGATATAGTATGAGCATAATTTCTAGTCACTGTCTTCCTAGCTTTTGCCGGGAGTCGTAGAGTCAATAGCTTGCAAAGAGGTCTCGAAGTGATATGCCATAGCTGCGTTGAATATTGTCAGAGTATAGAAGCAAC